GCGGGGTAAGGGGAACTGGAGAAAATGGGGCTGGGGCATGGAATAACCCCTCCCAGCTTGCTGCTCTATCTCAGAGTGGGGCAGCTGATGGTCCCCTTCCTAGAACCCAGCGCAGAGAACCCTGCCCACAATGGACCTTTTGGTCTGGCTGTTGACTTACTGACTCAATTCTCTGAAAAAGCCAGAATGCAAGTCTCCAAAGAGACTGTGGAATAACTCTAAAGGAAAAAAGGCAAGAAGTATCAGGTTAAACTGGATCGCAAGGTGCTTTTTTGGGAGCTCACATTTAAAAAAAAAAAAGAATCTGGCAAGGGTTTAGCGTGGAATGGTTAAAGTGGTTAGATGGTCCTTACTCTTAAATTGTCACAATGTCCAAAGTTTTGTTAGCAGCGTGATCCTAAATTTGAAATCTGCAGTTCTTAACTAGCTTGACTTATTTCAAAGGTTAAGAGGTTTGGCCTTTTAAGAGCTTGGGAGGAGGGGGTAGTGCTGAGGAGATAGAGGGTGTATTGGAAAGTTGAGGACAGTATAATCTAGGGGAAACATTTATGTTCATTCTCCTAGTCTACTTTATGTCTCTGGAGTATCATGGGATCAAACGTTTAGTACTTGAAGGGACCTTCGAGGCAACTGAGTCTAACATCCTTATTTTACAGGTGAGGAAACTGAGGCACTGAGGGGTTAGAGTGTTAAGTGCAGTTTGTATCCAGTTCACTCTAAATCCAGCACTCTATCTACCACTCCATGTAAATATTTAATTTTAGATAATGGGATATCTATAGTAGACATTGGGTATCCCCAGCAAAGTTGGGTCCAGATACTGGACAGAAAATGTCCCCCCCTCAGGACTCAGCTAAAACCCCACCTTCTACAAGAAGCCTTTTTTGATCCCCTAACTTAATGCTAGTGTCATTCCTCTAAGATTATCTCCTATTTATCCTGTCTATATAATTTGTATATAGTGGTTTACCTATTTTTTATCCCATTAGGCTGTGACCTCCTTGAGAAAAGAGACTGTCTCTTGCCTTCATATCCTATAGTGCTTAGCACAGTGGTTGACACATAGCAAGTTCTTCATAGTGTGTCTTGACTTGATTAGATTTGCTCAATAAACATTTATTAAGCACCTACTACAGCCCAGGCACTGTATTAAGCACTGAGGATACAAAAAGAGGTAAAAGATAGTCCCTGCCCTCAAAGAGCTTATAGTCTAGCCACCTAAGTCCTTTTCTGCTTGTTCAAGTTTTTCTTTCCAGTCTGTTATAATCAAAATTAAAGGACTCTTAAAAAGGCAATAATTCCTGAAGTGGGAGGAGAAGGGGAGGGACGGTTGTCAACAAATCTTCAATGGCATTAGAGAAAAAAAACCAACTCTAGGACTGACCTTTCTCTTCCTCATTGATTTGTAAACATACCCTCTCTCTGATCCTGCTGTTGAGTCAGGGTCACAGCCATAGCTGTCCTGAAATCAGATAAGTGAAAGGAGATGGAAGACCCTGTTTGTATGTATAACTTATGGTTAGGAGAGGCGGGGTGTTCATATGCTACATCTTGGTCAATAATTTGTTCCCTGTGTGAACACTCTGAAAATCTCACTGGGATATAGTTGGGCCAATATCCCAGAGCCACAAACAACTTTTCCTGAAGATCTGTTAGGATACTGGGCAGCATTGTGTTACAAGGCAAAGGACACTGGCCTGGGAGCCAGAAGCTGGTGTGTGTGTGTGTGTGTGTGTGTGTGTGTGTGTGTGTGTGTGTGTGAAATCCTAGCTCTGTCATCTGTTAGTTCTTGGACCATGATCTTCCCTCTTCGTGGGCTTCAGTTTCCTCTTCTGTAAAATGAAGGGGTTTAATTGAATGATGTGTGGCACAAGTTCTTTGTGTTGAATAACTAAATATAGCAGGGGTTGGATTGGAGTACAACCCATGGGGCATGTACAGAGCTTCCCTGGCCAATTCCAAGGCCAAGTGTGGTTCAGTTTTCTGGATGATGTACTGGGTGGTCTCTTGCTCCTCCCAGAGAGAACCTGCTTTGAACCAGGGAGAATTAGCAAATTGGAGAGGCTAAACTTTTTCCACCTCCTTCAGTGAGGATGACGAATCTCAGAAATGGAGCTCTGAGGAAGTCAGACAAAAAGTTTTTGTTAATCCTCTGCCAAATCTATTTGCCTCTTCTCAATTATCATCCCTCTTGACCTCTGCATCCTTTGACACTGTTGATCCCCTTCACCCAGATCCACTGGGATTTCACAATATTGCTCTCTTCTGATTCTCCTCCTTCCTACCTATGTGACCACTCCTTTATTGCTAGGTTATCATATATGTCATGCCCACTAGCTGTGGGTGTATCCTAAGGCTCTCTCCCAGAGCCCTTTCTCTTTTTTCTCTACATTCTCTCACTTTGGTGACCTCCTCTGCCCATAGGTTCAGTTATTATCACTGTTCAGATGACTTCTAGATCTATAAATGCAGCCCTAGTTTCTTTTGAGCTCCAATCTTGCATCACCAAATACCTACCGGACATTTCAAATTGGCTGACTTGTAGGCATCTCAAACTTAACACCTTCAAAACAGAAGCCATTATCTTTCCCCTCAAATGCACCCCATTTCTGACTTTCCCTATTGCTGTTATTGTTGAGTCGTTTTTAGTCAAGTCTAACTTTCCATTACCCCATTTGAGGTTTTCTAGATTCTAGAGCGGTTTGCCATTTCTGGAGCTGAGAACGGCTCATTTTATAGATGAGGAACTGAGGCAAACGGGGTTAAGTGATGTGTCCAGGTCACACAGATAGTAAATATCTGAGGCCAAATTTGAACTCAGGTCCTCCTGACACAGGGCTAACACTCTGTCAACTGAGCCACCTAGCTGCCACTCACATTGCTGTTGAGGGCAGTTCTATTCTTCTAGTTATCCACCTCTACAATCCAATGAATTGTTAAATCTTGTCTTTTTCATCTCCATGATATTGTTGGTATAGGTAGCCTTCTCTCCCCTCACAGAGACCCACCTTAGTCCGGGCTTTCATCACCCAGACCTTCTCTATAGTCTCCCTGCCTCAACTCTCTCCCCATTGCAATCCATCCTCCACAAAGATGCCTAAGTGATTTTCCTAAAATACAGGGAGGAAACAAGTATTTATTATGTGCCTACTACGTACCAGGCACTGTGCTAAGCACTTTATAAATATTATCTCATTTGATTTTCACAGTGACCCTCGAAGGTAGGCCCTATTACTACCCCCATTTTACAAATGAGGAAAGTGAGGCTGATTGAAGTTAAGTGATTTGCCCAGAGTCACACAGCTAACAAGTATACAAGGCCAAATCTGAACTCAGGTCTTCCTGACTCTAGGCCCTGCACTCAATCCACCTCGTTGTCTAAGGTCCGATCATGTTATATCCTGACTCAATAAACTTCAGTGGCTCCCCATTACTTTTAGGATAAATATAAATTTCTGAGATTGGCTTTTAAAGTTCTTTACAACCTGGTCCCTTCCTATCTTTCCGATCTTACACATTACTCACCTCCATTTACTTTATGGTCCATCCCTGCTGACCACTTGAGGTTCTTCACTCAGGACACTCTTGTCCTTGAGCCTTTCCACTGGCTGTCCCTCTTGCCTGAAATACTTTCCCTCCTCTCCACCACTTCTTGGAATCCCTGGTTTTCATCAAAACTCATCTTGAGCACTACCTTCTTCATGAAATCTTTCCTGATTCCGCAGCTATTAGAGAGCTCTCTCCCGAAACTATCTTGTATTCATTTTGTATATATTCATTGTATTCATTTTGTATATATTCCATGCATACTTATTTAACAATTATGAGCCAATGCTGGGCTCATTGGGCTGGGGAATAGCACCTTCTTCTTCTCTGCTACGGGGCTCCTTTGCTCTGTATCCATACATGTGGTCTAGACGGGATTCAGTTCCCTGGGAGCCTGGTCTTTAATGAGAGGGGTTAAGATCCCTCTTCTTACACTCTTTGCCTCTCTACACCCAGGGGTGTGGTGTTAAGTGTTTAACAATCATCTCTCCACCCCACCTCCCTACTTTTAGGTTTAATCTGAGTTGTTAACATTTTCTCTATTACTTTCTTAAGTTTTTTCTTTAAAGAAAAAGAGAAAAAAAGAGGAAGAGTTGAAGAAAAAATTCAGCAAAACCCTTCAATACAACCAGCTAGGTGAAATGGATAGAGAGCTGGACCAGGAATCAGAAAGGCCTGCATTTAAATCCAGCCTCTGATATTAACCAGCTGAGGGACTCTGGGAACTTCCCTACAATTTACTCATCATGGACACAATAACAGCACTTACCTCCCAAGGTTGTTGGGAGGATCAAATGAAATAATATTTGTAAAGTGCGTTGCAAACCTTAAAGACCTATATAAATGCTATTATTATTATCAATACATGGGAAAAAAATTGAAGCTATTGGCAGTGTTCCGCATCTATTGACCACCCCCCCAACCCCTTCCCTTCAAACTCCGCAAAGAGTGGGTTGAGGTGTCTTCTCATAAGTCTTTTCTGCTGTCAAACTTGTGGTTGTTCTTTCCATTTGCATAACTGGCATTTAATAAATGTTTCGTTGAACGTCATTGGAGAAGCCAAGGACAGAACCCAGGAGTCCCAAACACTTTGGCTCCAGCCCTATATAAACACTCAAGTTAATCTCAGAGGAAGGACAAATTATCGTAAATTACAAAATAAAGGAACCTAGCCCAGTACGCATGCGTTAAACGCAGACCGCACAACTCTAGGTCTTCTGAATGCGCCTGCGCATTGTCCGATTTCAGAGGGAGTGGGGCCGAAGGGACGAGAGGGAGCTGAGCAGAAGGGCGCATGCGCTCCTGGGCTAGGGAAGGGGCGGGCCTGCGCTGTCCGTGTCCGGAGGCGGAAGGAGCGCCTTATCTTCTTCAGGGCTGGGCTGGGCTGGGCGGCAGCCTGAGTGGTGGCCGTTCCCGGAGCTGCGCGGGTGGCGGGGGTCGCGGAGGCCGGGGCCATGCGGACGGCTTGGGGCTCGGGGCTGCCGCCGCTGTTGGCGGCCGCCGCTGTGCTGGTGCTGGGGGGCGGTGCGCAAGTGCGCGGCTCGGAGGACATCGTGGTGGGCTGCGGGGGCTTCGTCAAGTCCGAGGTGGAGATCAACTACTCCCTCATCGAGGTGAGGTGAGGGGGACCGCGCTCCGCGGAAGGGCTGCTCCTGCAGGGAGTGAGGTCCCCGTCCCCTAAGGTCCTCCAGCGCCAGACGTCCCATTGGCCATCGTGGAATGTGGAAGAGACCTTAGTCATCCCCTTTTACAGAGGAGGAGACTGAGGCCCAGCGTGGTTCAGTGACCTGCTTAAAGGTCACACAGCAAGTGGCAGAGCGAGAGATTAGAACCCACATTTTTCTGATTCCTAAATTCGGGGCTGCTTCCTCGACCCCAAGTGGAATAATTTAGGGAGAAGTTAAAGAGCCCAGGTATCAAACATAGTGAGGAAATAAGATTTAGAGAAAGTCTTTCTGCTCAGACTTTTATTAAGTTAACGTGTGACCTGCCTCTTGTTAGGGGCTAAGGAAGAAATAAACAAAACGGAAAGATCCAGATCCATATTTCAGTAGTTTCCTGCCTAAAGGAAAAAAAAATGTACTTTAAGTTATTGAATGCTTTATGTAGACTTCTTATTGTTTCTGAGGTGGGAAAGCTAAACTTAATTCAGAGTTCTATATCTAAATGTCAAAGGTACTGCAACTTATTTCTTATTTGCATTTTCACATTTTTTTTTTAGGTTTGTATGGATTTAAGTTATATACTAAGCATGGGACTTTGAAGTGCCAGAGACTATGCCCCAGACAGTGGTTTCTTTATGATTCCTGTTATCAGAATAATGTTTTTAAATGCATAAAGCAAAATACATAGGGTTGCAAAAGAAATCAATAATATTGAAATGCAATTGTCAAACGTTTCAAAGCAGACCCCTGGCAAGAGTGAGTGAGATGAGAAGGGGCAGCTGATATGAGGGAAGGGAGATGGAAGAGAGAGAGAGAGAGAGAGTGTGTTGTGTTTTGAGAGAAAACCTTGTTAGGGCTGGTCGGTCAATCACTCAACAAACATTTATTAAGTGCACACTTTACACGTGCCAGGCACTGTGCCAAGAGCTGGGGATATGTACAAAGGGAAAAGTCAGCACTTGCTTTCAAGGAGCTCCCAGTCTTATGGTGGAGACAGCTTTTGAACAGCTATATACAAATGATACTTGTATCCATATCTATAGTTCATGTATAAGATACTTATTTACACAAACATGATTTATCATATGTGTGTATATATGTATATGTATATTTATATATCTGATGAACTGGAGATAATGAACACAGAGAAGGCACTAGGGTTTATTTTTTTGGAGGGAGGATTGTGGTGTAAGATTTTTCATTATAGCCTTCTGGAAAGGTAATTGGGAGTTAGTACAGTGGATAGAGTGCCAGGCCTGGACAGGAAGACCTGAGTTCAAATTCGGCTTGAGACACTTACTAGCAGTGTGACCCTGGGCAAGTCACTTAACCTGGTTTGCCTCAATTTCCTCATCGGTAAAGTGAAGCTGGAGAAGGAAATGGTCACCCACTTTAGTTTCTTTGCCAAGAAAATCCCAGAGGGGGGTCCCAAAGAGTTGGACACAACTGAACAGCAAAGGTTCTGGACCCTGCCTTATTTGACCTTGCCAAATATCTGTCTCGATTTTTCTACTTGTAAAATGGCAGATAAATCAGGAGATAATATAAATAAAATACTCCATTTATTTAAAGAAGTCGTTTATCAACTCTAGATTATAGCAAAACGTGGTGTATAGGTCTTTGGAGTGAGGGAGAAAAAAACCTGGGTTCACATCCCATCTCTAATGCTTACTAGATGGGTGATTATGTTTGTGACCATGGGTAAATCACTGCCTTTAGAATGTAAGTTCCTGGAGAGTAGAGTGTTTCATCCTTTGTATTTTAGGCATAGCACAGTGCATGGTACATAGTAGGCACTTAATGTTTGCTAGTTGATTTCCAAGCTTTAGTTTCCTCATCTGTAAAATGGGTTTATAATAATTCCTACCTTACAGGGTTTTTCTGGAGATTAAATGAGATTCTGTATATAATGCTCTTTAGAGTACAACATACATATAATCATAGAGTACTATGATTATCCTGAAGACGTTTGGGGTGGAGGTTAGGGGTGCTGGGACCCTGAGAATGCCAAGGCAGAGTTGCCGGAAATGAACTCACACACTCAAGCCATCTTTCATTCAAGAGGCAGTTTATTGTAATGTCCATAGAAGCGGATGAACTTGGGGAACTTGAACCCTAATGGGGTGAATTTAGAACTTACATAGAAAAGGGGCATGGGAAAGGAATGCCAGGGATGCTAATTAGGTAATCTCAGGGTCCTGGTGTCTTTGGGAGCTATGGATGGGAAAGTGTAGGGAGTGTACCAGACGTAGAGGGAGTTGTCAGGGGTATGGACTTTGGGGATCTGGTGGAAGAGTCCTTGGGCCAGCCAGGGGCAAAAATCCTTGGGCCAGACACCCAAATCTGGTAAGAGAACCTGTTCTGCAACAAGAGAAAATTTTCTCACAGGAAAGGGGACCACAAGACATTGGGAGGCTTCCAGAGACATGATTTTAGGGCTGGGGTCCGAGCACCTATCAGTATGTCTGGGATCTCTGACCTTAGACCTTTAGACGTTATAACTTTTTTTTTTTTGGTTGAAGAGGTACATGAATTGTTTAACACCTAGGTAATAGGTAATAATACATGATGTCAGAGTGCTTTAACTCCTGAGAGCGAATTTTCAGCATACATATTTATTTTTAAAAAAAGTATTTTGTTGGATGCAACCTTTGCCAATAATTCATGAAATATAGATCCTTGTGGTTTGCAGATAACTGAGGCAGAAGATTTCTAGGGGAACAGCAGTATTTATAGTATAAGGTTTGTTTGTATCTTAAGCCATATGGGGAAGAATTACCAGGCTGGGAATAAGTAGGCCTTTATTTTCCGTAGACTCTGCCAACTAATAGTGTGACCATAGGCTTCACTTCACCTACTTGAGCCACACTTTTCTTCTTTGTAAAATGAGGGAGTTGAATTAGATGCTTTCTTTTTTATTGTTAAATTTTATTTTTAATTTATGGAATGAAACAAACATGTCCATAACAAAGTACAATAAAAAAGATGATTGCACATGAAACTGCAAATCTATGCACAACTTGCTATTCCTTTCAAATATACAACAAAATTATCATGTAAATTTCTTTTTTTCTCCCCCCTCCCAGATAGCTACCATTAAACATAAATAGGTGTGTATAAATATACACACCTATATATGTGTGTGTATAAAATTATTCTATACATACTTCTATTTATCAGTTCTTTCTCTGGATGCAGATAGTGTCTTCTTGTGTCCTTTATAGTTAGACTATTTATAATAGTCTAAGTAACTTATTTGTTCAAAATTGTTCCTAAAACAATATTGCTCTTACTGTGTACAATGTTCTCTTGGTTCTGCTCATTTTGCTCTTCATTATTTTGTGCAAATCTGTCCATGTTTTTCTAAACTTACTGAAGTCATCATTTCTTATGGCATAGTAGTATTCCATCACAATCATATACCACAACTTGTTTGGTCGTTCCCCAGTGGGCATCCTTGCAGTTTCCAGTTCTTTGCCACTACAAAGAGAGCTGCTGTAAACATTTTAAAGTGTATAGGTGATTTTCCTTTTTTCCTAATTATCTTCGGAAATGAACCAGTTAGTGGTATTGCTGGGTCTAAGGGTATATGTAGTTTAATAACTCTTTGGGTATAATTCTAGATTGTTCTCCAAAAGGAAAGCAGAAGATTGGAAATTAGGTGTTTTCCAAGGTTGTTTCTACCTTTAAAATTCTTTAAGTTCATATGTTTCCTATTGAGTTGAAAGTGAAAAGTGACATCACCTCTTGAAACAGAAATTCTCTATTTTTTACTCACTAATCTGAATTAAATGAGTTTATTATCACCTATTTACATTCCATGTGGTTAATCTTGTATGTGTTTATATGTGTTGAAATGCAAATTAGTCTGTATTCTTAGGCAGTAAAACCAAATAATTTTGTCATGAATTTCAGTAATTGATTTTGTTCTATTCCCCAATAAAAACCGTTTCATGACCAAATATAATTTTTTTCCTAATTTTTGAATAATGTACTTATTATGCCCTTTAAACATACATAACATTTATATGTATATATGTACACATATACATATGTATTCTTTTATATATTTCATGTTAATTAAAAATCCTTTATGTGGCATATTTAACTATAATGATTGAGAATTCCAAAGCATTCTTATTCTTCATAATATCCATGGGAGTTAACATTAAATGAATTTTCCAAGTAAGGAATTAAACTTAGTAAGAAATTAAAGAGCTGAGATATTACTATATATATATGTATATGTTTGTATAAATTATACATGTAAATAATCAGGATAAGATTTAAATAATGACTTTCTACTTGCTGCCTTTTATTAAGTTTATGAATGACCTGCTGCTGTGCTGTGGGCTAATAAGAAATGAACAAAATTGAAAGGTCCAGACCCTTATTCTAGTAGTTCATATGAAATGACATGTGTGACAGAAAAAAAAAACCTACAAAAGTATTTTAAATTATTTAATATTCTATGTAGGCTTCAGATTGTTTCTGAGGTGTGAAAGCTAAACTTAATCAAATTCTGTATCTGAGTATCAGTGCAACTTTTTTTTCATTTCAAATTTTTTATCTTTGTATAGATTAAGTTATACACTAAGCATGGAACTTTGAAATACCAAACAGACTGTGCTCCAAACAATGGGTACTTTATGATTCCTCTGTATGACAAGGTAAGAGACCGAAAACGGTTCAGTCTAATTTCATGCTATTCATGATTATTGATATGTAGAGAAGCAGTGTGCCACAGGGATTTGATCATACTAGTAGGTGATTATTGGTTCTATCTGCCTTTGACTTTTGTGACCTTAGAAATTACAAGTTTGTTTTCTTAATTATATATGAAACATAGCAGTGTTAAGTAAGAAGTAGATAACTAACAATCAGTACAGTGATATAAAGTCATTCGTTTAATTTTAGTACTTTGGTAGATTTCTTGATTTCATAAGAAGAGACCTTTTTCCATTGTTTCATAAATCCGTCATAGAGGGACTGTGCATTGTTCTGCAGGTTTTACCTGGGAACACAAATGCTTAAATTTTAGGCCATTCATCTTATTCTTTTTCTTACTCTGTGATTGATTTACCTTTGTCTCCTTATAAGATGACTTTGGATTCTTGAAGGTGATGCTGGCAGAACACAACTTTTAGCTGGTTTTGTCAAGCTGCAAAAGTGACAGGTGTGGGCTTAGGTAGAGATTGTTGTTTGATACAGTGGAAGAAAAAGCTTTGGAGTCAGAGAGCCTACACCTGTGGTTTACATTCAGCCTCTTGAATTACCTTTTTAACCTTGGCAAAGTCACTTAACCTTTTGGGGCCTCAGGTTCCTCATCTCTAAAGTGAAGGGTTTGGACTAGATGGCCTTTAAGGTCTGTTGTGGCACTAAATCTGTCATTCTGTTCCCATTTTAGTTTGGAGCAGATTATTACCAGAAGGTTGCCCATGATTATGAATGAATGAAAGAAAAAGCATTTTATGTGCTTACTGTATGCCAGGCCTTGTGCTAAGCTCTGAGGATACAAATACAAAAGCAAAACAGTTCTGTTCTCAGGGAGCACTAGGAGAAGCAACAGCCATGGGAGTGAGGGCTAGGGGAGGATATTTTGGGTTTTGAAGTCCTAGGGATAGCTCTTTTCCAGAAGTAGTAGTCCTGTTTATTGGATTACAGTTCTGGGGCTTCTAGGAATCTCACCAGTCAGGAAAATCCAGCCCAAGAAGAATTGCACAGCTCTGCCCGCTAGGGTGCAGGGAGATGCAGGGAGGGGAGCAGCAGCCAAGAGTAGAGGGCAAAGGAGAGGAAAAGGGGGAGTGGGAGCCTGCTAAGTCTAGTGAAGTTCATTCATTCGTTCATTTATTGGAACTTGACAACCCATTCATTTAACATTAACAGTAAAACAAAATGTAAGAGAAATCTCAGGGTATTGATATAATTTAGTACAAAAATCACATTTTTATCTTTAAGCAGTTTGTTGATCCATTTATTCAACACACGTTAAGAACGTTGCTTTGCACAAATACATTGCCTGAGGTAATAGAGGAAAAACAGATGTTTCTTCCTATGCTCAAGGAATTTATAATTCAACAGGGGAAATAGACATAGGATTATAGATTTGGAGCTGAAAGAGACCTTAGATGTCATGTGATCTAGCACCTTCATTTCACAGGTGAAGAAACTGAGGTCCAGAAAAGTAGTAAATTATCCAGTGTCAAAGTAAGTGACAGGATTAAAATCCAGGTTCCTTGACTCCAAATCCGGAGCTCTTCAAACATAATACAAACTAAATGGTAAATACATAAGAAAAATGTAAAGTGTTATGAGATTAGATGAGGGAGGTCTTACATCTGGCTGAACTGATTTTTTCCATTAATTGTACACATTATTATCTTCTTATTACTAGACAAATGATTATGTGGATATCACTTACTTAGCAAGTTGTTTTAAAAAAATCTAAGAGGTAGCAAGTACCTCTTAAACTCCAGGTTTTATATCAGAATTTGTTACAAATCAGATTTGTTAAATCCATTGCCTTGTTTTTGCATAGGAAGACAGAAGCCAGTAAGTTGATGCAGTTTTAGAGTATCTAGCTTCTCTGAGTTCAAATCCTGCCTCTGATGCTTATTTTCTTTGTGACATTCTGTAAGTCACTTTAACTACCCTAAGCCTAAGTTTCCTCATTTGTTAGATGAGGGTGTTTGGACTAGAAGAACTTTGAGGTTCCTTCTAACTCTAGCTCTATGATTATACTGTTGTTTTTATATTTTCTTTTATGTTTAAAAATTTTTGGTTGAATGACAGCATTAAAGCTAACTTTCCCTTTTTTTGACATAGGGGGATTTCATTCTAAAAATTGAACCTCCCCTAGGGTGGAGTTTTGGTAAGTAGATGACTAGACAGACATTTTCCATTACTGAATATAATCTCTACTGAATCTTCATGAATAAAAGACTTGTGCTGGTTAGATTGCTTAAATAATAAGGATTCATTTCTAGTTGTGGTCATACTTTTCTTGAAAGCTTCCTACTGTGGGCAAGCCAACTCCACTCAGCAGCTTGGCAACTTTACCTACTACTCCCCTATGGCAGTGAGCTACCTTTTCTGAAAAAGTTTATGATTAAGTGAAAAAAAAGTGATTATTCCCATACTTTGTTTTCTCCCTTCTGTTTCTTCCTTTGAGTGGGTAACTAGAGAAGGAGGGAGCATCAGGATGCCTTTTTATGTCTCCTTAAAGTTTATGTAGAAGAGGAAAATAGATTTTTCCCCAGACATAGTTGGAATAGCTCTTCTTGGGACTCTGTTGTTCCAGCTTTGAAGTTTGGAAATGAGGCATGGCTATGGCTTGTTGGAGTCTTACTTTTACAAAGTACCTGGTAGTGTGTTCTGTAATGAGAATTTGGGTTTAGCCGTTTTGGAGGGACATATTTCAAGGACTGTAATGAAACTGCCACCTGAAAGTTCATTCTGCTCTGAGACTAAGCTTTATATAAGTTCAGAATCTGAGGTGGTGACATTTTCCTCTTTCATGCCTATGGAGGTGCATAAATACAGTTTTTCCAAAACCTTGAAGAGTAGAATAGAATCCATTTAGTGTTGAAAGTTTCTGAATTCAACTATACATAAAGTTTTAGTACTACAAATGGACTATTTGGTGATGTTTACTAAATTGCAAATGATAATTTGAGATAAAACTCAGATGAGACACTGGTTGACATATTTTACTTAGGAAGATTTCAGTATATTAAAGATGTGAAGTTGTACTGTTAACTCCTTTCTTATTGCCTTCTTCCTTTTTGTCCCCAGAACCAACAACTGTGGACCTTCATGTTGATGGTATTAATGATATCTGCACAAAAGGAGGAGACATCAACTTTGTATTCACAGGGTTTTCTGTGAATGGAAAGGTTTGGCTTTTTGCAGTTTTCTTAGTAACATGCAGTTTTCCCCCTTGAGAACATGTTAGATTAATTGTACTTTGTTATAAATTACTAACTATGTGTTCTTTATGGCAGGTACTCAGTAAAGGGCAGACTTTGGGACCTGCTGGAGTTCAGGTTATGTTAAGAAGCATTGGGAATGAAGCTCATATACAATCTACTGTGACTCAGCCTGGTGGAAAGTAAGTTATGTCTTATTTTGCCTTGTCTTCTGGATGTATAGATTTTTCCTTTTTAACTTAGAAACCATTTCAATTTGAAGCAATCAGTCAATAAGTACTTGTTAAATACCTATTAAGTGCTAGGTGCTGTGCTGGGTACTAGGGATACATAATAAAAAAAAAAGTACAAAAGTTAATCGTTTAGGGTAGAGAGTATAGAATTTTAATGAACCCTCTTCCAGTGATCTGCTGAATTGCTTTAGGAAAAGTTATTTAACGTTTTTGAAATTAGGGAGGTGGTGTGGTATTGTAATCAGAATCTAAGTAGCTCTGCTGCTGTGATGAGGGGCAATTTGTATCATCTCTCTAGGTCTCATGGGATCATAGGCTATAGAATCAGAAGGTACTTTAGAGGTCATCTAGTTCAGCCCCTTCCTTCCCCCAGCTGCAACTTCCTTTGGTCTTCTGTTTTATTAATAGTGAGAATGTCAAAATTATTACAATTTAATATTTCCTGTAGTATTCTAATTTTGTCACTGGACCTGAATCTCACATTTAAAGTAAAAATAGCCAGGTTAATGTTTCTAGATGGTTTAAAACATGTGGGATTTTTTTGCTCCCTGCTGTCTGTTTTCTGCTATTACTGTACAGATAGGAGGGGAACAAAGGGGGCTGAGGGCCATTTGGTATTTCTCTTTGTTTCATGGGTTGCCATGCCAAAGAATTCACCCAGTAGCCAACTAATTGATGATGAAAATCTCCTTATGTCATAATAATATTCTGTATATTCATAAACCCTAATTTGATTAGCTACTTCCCAGTCATTAGATACATACTTTGTTTTTAGCTTTTTTGTTAGTCACAAATAATGCTGTTGGAAATATATGTATACATGAAGTTCTTTTCTTGCTGTGAATAACGTACTTGGGATATATTCCCAGTAATAGAATCTCAGGGTCAAAGGGTTTGAACAATTCAGTAATTTGTTTAATTCTCTTTTCTTCCTTGGAATTACTTTTAACAGGACTTGACCTGTAACTGTAAAAGTGTTTTGAAAAAAAGTGTTAAATACTTCGTAGTTCTCATTTGGTCTTCCTTCCTCCAGGTTTTTTCCAGTCTATACTGTATATAGCTACTGTAATATCCTTTTTCAAACGTTCTTTTCATCACGCCATTGCTGTTTTGGAATCTATGAGTTCCTTTTGAATTCACTTGTACTTAGTAGGTAGATCCTTAGTAAATGTTTATCTGAGACACTGTGGTAAACACAGGGATATAAAGTACAAACAAGATGTAGTCTATGCCTTCTTTGCGCCTGTGGTCTAACAGATGTTTTATTAATCGAAAAATCTTTGGGAGGCTTTTAAGAAATGAGGCAGCATACTGTGTAGTGGAAAGAACTTGGGGCAGGGAGTTAGAGAGCCCCAGTTCTAATCCAAGTTTTTTTACCTCTGTTTTTATTCTGGAGCCATGATTTCCTTGAGAGGAAAACTCCCTCTCCCAATACTGATTGGTAGTTACAACTTAGAGTCTTAGTTGGCTTGGTCACTAAGAAGTTAAGTGACTCATCTAGAGTCACACAGACAGTATGTATCAGAGGCACGATCTACCCCAAAGTCTTCCTGACTCTTTAGCCAGCTCTTTATCCTCTAGCCATGTTGCTTCCCACTACTACTTCCGTGACCTAAGACAGAATATTTCATCTGTCAGGGGCCTCTGTTTGCTCATCTGAAAAAGAACAGGTGAGATGAGATGATCTCTACCACCTCTTAACATTTGTTTTATAGTCATTGTTCTAATGCTGGAAATACTTGGAGATGAGTAACTGTACTTCCTTTTCAGCCAGCATTTATTCACAATAGTTGTTAAATAAGTGCTTTATAGTAACTAATGGCAAACTTGTGGTTATTGTCAGATTATTTTCTTGTGCTGCCAGCATGATTGGGGGTATTATTGAGAACTGTTGTGGTGTAGTGGAAAGAGTGATGAACTTGGAATCAGTATCTTGCCTGATTCAAATCTTGTCTCATACATTTATTAGGAATATGACCATTGGAAAGTCTTTTAACCTCTTCTAGTCTGCTTCCTCATCTATAAAATGGGTTTTATAACACTTATACTCCCTACTACACAGGTTTGTTCTGAGGAACTTTTTTTTTTTTTTTTTTTTGGCTAGGCAGTGGGGTTAAGTGATTTGCCCAGGGTCACACAGCTAGTAAGTCTTATGTGTCTGAGACCGGATTTGAACTCAGGTCCTCCTGAATCCAGAGCCGATGCTCTATCCACTGCGCCACCAAGCTGCCCATGAGGAACTTTAAAGTACTATATAAATAAAAGTTTACTCATAGATTAAGAGAAAGATAAACATAATTTTATATTTCATAGGTTTGCATTTTTTAAAGTTCTTCCTGGAGAATATGAAATATTTGCATCTCATCCAACCTGGACATTGAGAGAAGTAAGTATTTTAAACATGTGATTTAAATGAATGAATAAAAAAAATTTTTTTAAGCACTTATGTGCTAGGCACAGTGCTAACTGCTGGGGAAATTAAAAACAATAGAGAGATAGTCCCTGACCTCAAGGAATTTGCATTTTAAAATGGAAGACAACATATATAGGGGTGTGGTGGCCAGGGAAGGGTAAAGTCACAGAGATGGTGAGTGGAGCCAAAAGGCAGTCAGTTGACATGCCTTTTCCAGAAGCAGTGGTGATGTTGATCTGGTCACTGTTGCCAGAGCAAAAGATGGAAAGAGGGGGGTAACGCATGCTAGGAATATGTCATTTAGTCAAGGGTTGGAAAGTGGGGTGATGTGAGGAGCTATCACCAGTGAGTATAAGCTCAGGGCAAGAACTGGAGGTCTCTTTGGGCAATTGGAATTGAATCATATCTACAACAGTTCAAATTAACAAGCTTATTTTGGAATAAATTTAAGAGCATTTGATTTATGAAGTGAATTTCATTTTTTTTGGAAGTCATCTGTAGATAGGACAACAAACTATTATGGTCTCTCTCTGGTAATAATTAGATGGGTGCCGTCCATAGACAGCATGCTGCTAAAACTTCTTTAGCAATGATATATGTTATCTGTTAAAGCTTTCAAGAGAACGTTCTTTTTCCTGCTGTGAAATGATTCTGTTTTTAATTGGAGCTATTAAAAAAAGCAAATACTTAAAACTGTATAGAATGTAATATAATTTAGTTGTATTTCTTTTAAGGCAAAACTAGAAATTTAGAACAATTGTGAAAAATTTTAAAAAAATTTTTCTCTTCCTATAGCTAGTTAGGTTACTTATAATAAGATGTAAAACAAATTTGAAATATTCCAGATCTTGCTTTTGTTCTGATACTTGATAGCTTTCCTGCTTAGAAAATCATTAGACATGATTAAGCTCAGATTTGTGTCCATAAGTTTTGTATATATGTAGGTTATCACATACATAGTCTTAATTTGATACTTTATACTGTTTTGTGGTATTTTAAGTTTTGAATGTACTTATCTTATGATAGAACGCTTAGTTTTAGACTTGAGTTCTTTGTTTTGCATTCAACATGTATAGTATGTTATAGAGAGGAATAAATATGTCCAAACACAGACGGATTTTTAACTGTGTCCAAAATGTTATGCTGTGGTTGTGTACATTGAAAAAGGAAATATACCCATTAATTTTTCCTGTTCTTTTAGGCTAGCACTACTGTTCGAGTAACTAACTCCAATGCTTATGCTGCTGGTCCCCTACTAGTTGCTGGTTATAATGTTTCTGGTTCTGTTCGAAGTGATGGGGAGCCTATGAAAGGTGTTAAGTTTCTCCTCTTTTCCTCTTCGGTAGCTAGAGAGGTAAGGAAAAGTCAGATGCTTAGGGTAATAAAGAAAATAAAGGAAAAATAGAGACTAAGAAAACAATGCTAATTTAAATTTGTAGAATCCATTAATAACTGTGTAGCTGAACTACTATTTAATGAGAAATCTAAATAATAATATGTGTAGATGTGTATGTGTAGGTAACTATTTTGTATTATCTTAATTTTTCTTGAAATAGTAATATTAAATAATAATTATAATATTCTACAGTAGTATAGTAATTATGATGGAGAAGGCAACTACATAAATTTTTTTGTCATTTTACAATGACTTTTAGTGAGTTTTAGGATACAGGAAAGAAATAATTTTTAAAATTTTTTTTCCCCCACAGGATATACTAGGTTGCAATAGTTCTCCAGTGGATGGGTTCCAGTCTCAGGATGAGAAACTGATATTTTTGTGCAGTGTTATCTCAAAAGAAGATGGCTCCTTCTCATTTTTTTCATTACCAAGTGGGAGATATACAGTGGTAAAGGAAGATGAATTTCATTTACCTTTTTTCTTTAGGAACCTGATGTTATGAAACATGATCTGCTAGTTTAGTGTTAAAAACAGATGTTTCAATTCCTGATTTCATATGCCATTCTCTTTTTCTGTTCTTTGTAAATGGAAATGATGTTGTTTGTTAGTGCCTGTTATGTTCATACTAAAAAAAATGGTAAAATGATACCTCTACCTATGTAACTCAATGAAACTCTTTTTCTTGAATTACTTAGGTTGGGCTTTTGGCTACTTAGTAACTAATATATACATTCACACACACATATATAATATATATGCTACTGAATAGCTTATATGCATATGTGTGTACATACATGCATACATCTGCTTCTTTTTACATCTGAAACATTTCTCATGGCAACATTTGTTGCTGTGACATTTTGTTGTGAAGTCTTTTAGTCCTTTCCTCATTTTCAAGTTGATAGGTTGAATGTTTTTGGTGGCCATGACCTTTTAGAAGTAAAATATTGTGCTGAAGCTAAATTAAAAGCTTTGATCTTGTTTCAGGTTCCATTCTACAGAGGGGAAAGGATTACTTTTGATGTTGCTCCTTCTAGGTTAGACTTTACTGTTGAGCATGACAGCTTAAAAATTGAGGTAAGAGTCCCATATTAAACTCAGAATATAAAGCACATGTTTATATTTCATGTCTCGTCTCTGCAGAAATGGAAAAGTTCCAGAAAATAAAAATTTTGATGAGAGGGATTTTGGGGAAAACACAAAACCTTGTTTGGTTGAGCTTTTTTGGAGGACCTCTTGTACAGTTTTTTATTATTAGAAGAATTAGTTATTCTAATGATGATAGCATTTTTTATATATATATATATATGTGTATTATATATAATATATATTATGTATTATATATATGTATGTGTATATAAAGGTGATATATATATATATATATATATATATCACCTTTTCAGGTGTCATCCATTCAAAATTAGAGGTGAATTCTCAGAGGTCCTAAGCTAAAGTGTTATCAGCAATAGCTTATGTGCATGGTGGGGTTCTAGCTTTTGTTAGAAGAAGTTTTTTGTGAGATAGAAAAAACACTTGACAAAATCATTGATATGCAATTTTAGAAGAAGTCTATAGATCAGTGTTCCTTCTGCTTTGGTTGCTTAAATGAATAATGAATTCTCTGTCTCTTCTGCCTGTTCTAGCCTGTTTTCCATGTCATGGGCTTCTCGGTCACTGGCAGGGTTTTGAATGGCCCAGAGGGAGAGGGTGTTTCAGATGCTATTGTCATACTGAATAATCAAATCAAAGGTGAGTGATGAATGTTGGGATTTGACAGTTTCTGTCAAATGAAGAAAACAGTACTTATAAATGAAAAGGGAAGTTATTTCTAACTTGCTGTAAGAAAACATGGAAAAATTTTCATTTTCTTGATTTCTGCAGAATATATATGCTTCTACACATGATTGATTTGCTTCGTTTATTTTTCCTTGTGTTACAGTAAAAACAAAAGGCGATGGCTCTTTTCGCCTGGAGAACATAACCACAGGAACATACACAATTCATGCTCAGAAGGAGCACCTTTACTTTGATCCTATTACAGTCAAAATAGCACCTAATACTCCTCAGCTGGCTGACATCATAGCCACAGGGTAAGGTTTCGATTCACTTTAGTGGAAAATACTAGGGCAAATAGTTTTATATTTAGAGAGTTCTCAATATGGAAATATGAGATTTTGAAGGTGCTTTTTTCCTTAAGTGATCTGCATTGAGAGTTTTGCTTTAGGTAGATGTGGAAGAATTCAGGATGTCTTTCAGTTTTGAACATTAACCTAGTAGTCTTTCTGAAAAAGTAGTCATTTGTTGGATGCTTTAAAAAGTTATTTTGCTGCAAAAGTCAAAATAGGTTTATTTTAAAATCAAATTGAATAACATTTTCTATGGCTTCTTCCTGTGACGTTGAATGTAAATTGGTGCTTCTGTAATTCTAGAACCATTTTATAATCTCTTTAAGTAGCTGTCAAGGATAGAATTATGGTCAATGTTCATTTAACCCTTGTGTTCTTCTGAAGGTTATACTGTTAATTGAGAAACATTATAAGATGTTTTTGAATAATTAGGTTGGGTTTATTGCACTTTGTTCTGCTTTGTCATTAGGCAACTTCATAGTTTCACTATCCCATAATTGAACTTAAATACCAGAGTTATATAAAGGATCTGTGATTTTGTTAGCATGGGGAACTCCTGGTATGGGAACTCACCAACAGAGATTGTACCTTGTCCAGGATCACACGGCTAATAATACATGCTAAAAGCAGGATTTGATCCCAGGTTGCCTAGCACTCTATTGATGATACTGTCTTTTGGACATAAATAATAATTTGAAAAGCAGTCACCCATAAGTGTAAAGAACTCTTTTTTTTTTTTGCTAGGCAGTGGGATTAAGTGACTTGCCCAGGGTCACACAGCTAGTGAGTGTTATGTGTCTGAGGCCAGATTTGAACTCAGGTCCTCCTGAATCCAGGGCCGGTGCTCTATCCACTGTGCCACCTAGCTGCCCCAAGAACTCTTAAAAACATAAAGGTTACCTACTTACAGACTATGTAGTACATACTTACTCTATACCATAAGGATGAATTTTTCAGAAAAGAGTTGCCTATGGTTATTCTAGCTTTCTTCTAGTTTGCTTTATTATTTTTTTGTTTTTATTTTGTTTTATTCTTAAATTTTTGTTTTATTTTGTTTTATTCTTAAATTTCCATTTTTGCCATTCTTTAACTTTAGCTCTGATTGCCTGTGTTGCAATCTGAGAGAGACCGAATCAAAGACCGAAGTTACAGGATGGGGTTGTCTGGAATGAATCTACAGACTCAAGCATTCTTTGAGTCAAGTTGGCAAAGATTTATTGTTACTCAATATAGTAGGCAAGGATTCTTAAGGAACCTGTGAGAGACTGAAGATGGTGCTGGGGTTTTTATGGAAAAGGGCATGGGAAAGGAATGCCAGGGATACTGATTAGGTAATCTAAAGGTCCAGGTATCTTTGGGAGCTGTGGATGGGAAAGAGGAGGGAGTATACCAGACAGGGAAGGAGATGTCAGAGGACCTTGGGAATCTGGCAAGAGGAGGAGTCCCTGGGCCAGCCAGGGACAAAAAACTCCTTGGACCAGACAAGACATTCCTCTCTTCTCTGTCACAAGACAGGAGCTTACTAAGGAATTGGGAGGCTTCCAGAGACATGATCTTGTGGCTGGGAGCAGCCCAGCACTCTCTCACCGAGCTTTGTGTCACCAGGAGAGGAGATAAGTGTTTTGCTGAAGCCCACTCATGAGTAATTGCTAGGGACAGTGTCCTTGGGCTGGGGGAAACTGCCAGGGATAGTGTTTCTGAGGCCAGGGAGAAACTGGGGATCCAAATACAGGCACCCAAGCACCCCATCACCTGCACTGTTAACTTTGAACTTCAGGCATTTCCAATTTCTTTAGCGAAAAGTGTTGGTTTGAAAAACTTCTTGCGTCCACTTCAGGATTTGCCCAATTCCAGGATGCTTTATCTTAATGACAAAATACCATAGAAGCATATCTCCTTATTTTCTTTTGCCTCTGACTTATCTTTATGCCTTTTAGCATGTTATGTTTTGCAATGCTGTGTTTTGTCCCCACTTGATGTGCCTGCTCAAAATTCACTTTTGTAAGATTTTGGGAGATTTGTAAAACTACTAAAAATCAAAATGGAATCTTCTGGAATTCTTCACCAGTGAGTGAGAAAATTAGTGATTACTAATTTGTTTTCTTGTCTTTGACCAAACCTTTTTTTGGTGGGGTAGAGATGGGGGGGAGGTGGGGGGATGAGGTTCTGGATCTGTGATTTCACCTGTTATGAGGAAGTCCTGGTAAAAAATCTCTCTCCACCATTGCAGGTCAGCAACTACTTTGCACTGTATAGTTGTGCCTTCTCAGGGTGCCCCAGGCATTTAACGAACTGGCATTTAAAACCCTTCATGACCTGTCTCCTTTCTACCTTTCCAGTATTATACATTTCTCCCCTCAGTGTACTCTGTGATTCAGCTGAATTGGCCTGCCTGCCTAGAATACTCTCCTTCCTCCTCTTCCCCTCCCAGCTTTCCTGGTTTCCTTCCTTTAGGATTTAGCTCAGATTCCACTTTCTACAGGAAGCTCCCCTTTCACCTCCCCCTCATTGCCACTGCCCCAGTCCACTATCTTCTCTGAGATTACCTTCCATTTATATATCTATCTTATAGGTACCTAGTTATTTGCATGTCAGGGACTATGTTTTTACCTTTCTTTGTACCCCAGCACTTAGCTGGTGCCTGGTGTATCAGAAGCCAGTTTGTTAACTGCCTTTTTGACTTTGAGACTGTTCTTTCCTGATTGGCCTGCTTCCTCTGTGATCACTCCTTTTCAGTGTCCTTTACTAGTTCTAACTTCCCTTAAACAAGGCCCTTTTTTCTTTTTTCTATATACTGCCTCTCCTGGCAATTTCATCTACTTTAATTATTTCATATATCATCTCTTTGTAACTCACTTGCAAATCCATCTCTAGGCCCATTCTCTTCTTAGAGAGCTCCAGTTCTATATTTCCAATATTGACTGGACATATCCTTCTGGATGTTCTTTTGGTGTTTATATTTGGCGTGCACCAAATTGAATGAACCATCTCACTTCTCCACTCTTTTTGGTGTCATTGTTTCTGTTGATGGTAATATTATTCTTGCAGTTACCCAGGGTTCAGTCCCTCATTATCTCCTGAATTCACTTTAGTTTTAGTTCTCTTGGTGACAGCTTCCAGGATCCTCCTCACTTCTTTTCACTGATGCCAAGATAATCTAACGTACACGTCTGAGCACATCACTTTCTTTAAAAACAGAACAACAAAAGATAACTTCAGTGCCTCACCATTGATTAAAATACAGATTACTTTTTTCTTTTCATTCAAGGGTGTTCATAGTCTAGTTCCATCTACCTTTCCTTTTCTGCCAAACTTGGTCAAGGAATTTAGTTCTTACAATTGTAAAATGAGGGGATTGGATTAGATGTTTCCTTCTTGCTCAGAGATGTTTCCCTCTTGTTCAGAATCTATAATTCTGTGAGACCTCTGTTAGAGTCCTGGTTCTATCACTTACTAGCTAATCTTTCTCTCCCTTAGTTTCATTTTGTTCATCTGTAAAATGGGTGGAGTAATACCAGTTGCCACATTATAAGTGGGAGTTTATGGCCGTGTCTGTTGCTAAAGAGTCATTCTTGCAAATAAAATAAATATTAATAGGTTATACATGATATATACAGATTCTGTGAGTGGTGTTCCAACAAACAATAGATTTTGTAAGCAGAGTAAATTCTTAAATTTGCAATTTCAACTTGTCATTCTATGTAGTGCTGTTAACTTTGATTGGAGACCTGAATGTTGTGTTCGAATATTCAGTTATATTCCTTTGTGTTTTCCAGTGTTTGAATATTTCCTATAGGCTACGGTTCTTTGTACATACAGTACTACTAAATTTACTACTTATTAATTACTAAATAATTTTTAGGTATGCGTAATAATGAGTATAGAGTATAAAGCATGTTGGAAATATTTTAAGAAAAATAAATGCAATCTGTCAGCTCTTTTCAGTGTTTTAAATCATTATGATATCTTGGTTCACAATAATAAGCTATGTATTTATTATTATATCTTTTATAGAAAACCTGAAACTTTTAGTATAACCTTATCACAGAAAAATGATTTACTGTTTATTATTATGTTTATTCATTATTATTTAAAAACACAAATAAAATACTATGAAAAATACAGAATAACTTGTGATTTGGAGAATTCTTAAGTATTTTCATTTCTCATTCCCAAATCATGAAGATTACTATGTCAGGGATTTTCAAACATTAGTAATATTTATATTATCTAGCTCACAAAGTGGTTGTGATATTGAAATGAGATTTTATATTTAAATTTTTTTTCAAAACCTTGTTGTGCTATAGAAGATATTATTTCACACTTTATATGTAGATTGGACTTTTAGCCATTACCCAACATTGTCATGGGCTCTCTGCCTGCATTCAGAATCTTAGGTTGCATTTCAAGAGACAAAATGTGTAGGATGCTTATTTCACCATATCTGCTCTTCACCTTATATTCATATCGGGCTACATCTAGAATGTTGTGGTAGTACTGAATGCAACTGAGAAGTTAGGCAATGTCTAGAAAAAGGCAAACGGGGTGGGAGGACAGCCTCAAGATTATGACACATGAGGTCTGGTTGAAAGAAATGGGGATATTTAGTTTGGAGAAGAAAAGACATGGAGATTATCAGTATCATTAAGTATTTGAAGGTGGGACTGGACTTGCACCAAAGGGCAGAGTCAGAACAATGGGTGAAAGTTGAAAACATACAAATTTAGGCCTGAAGAGAAACTTCCTTACAAGTAGAGCTAACCTTTTCCCTGAAGCTTTCCTCAGTTCCACCTAGCTACAAGAGAGAGGGGTGGTATAGGTAAGTTTACTGACTTGGGGCATAGTTTCGGATTGCTTTCCAGAATGGCTATACCAATTCATAGTTCCACCTACAGCGCTTCATTCTTCCTCTCCTATGTACTTTGCACATTTAAATTTGTAATATAGTTACTTTTATGTAGGGTATCTCCTTAACTGTAAATTTATTGAGTTTGGGATGATGTTGTTTTTTATTGTTTGTTGTGTTTATTAAGGTACTGCTTGGTATTGGTGCTATAAATGTCAAACTTAAACAGTCTCTCTCCAGGGACCTTGAGGTACAGTGTGCACAGAAATGTAGATATATGGGGTATTTTGAGGAGGGAAAGAAAACTAACCATGGAGGACTTTGGGATATCTTCATGAAGGTGGTGCCTGCCCTGGTCTTTGTATTCCCAGTGTTTTACATTTTGCTAATAAGCATATGGGGAAGGGACTTAAGTCTGTGAGGTTCTGGCTGGCTTTTTCTGCATATATGGGGTAAAACAAGTCACTTTTTTTTTTTTTGGTGAGGCAGTTGGGGTTACGTGACTTGTCCCGAGTCACGCAGCTAGTAAGTGTTATGTATCTGAGGCTGGATTTGAACTCAGGTCCTCCTGACTGCAGGGCTGGTGCTCTATCTACTGTATCCACTCTGTCCACTCAATCCACCTAAGTCACTTATTATAGTGACTTAAAGTCTGCTGGGCCACCAGGTAGAATTGGGCACTCTCCTGGGGCCCCTGAGGGGATAGAGCACTTGCTTTCCCAATCCAGTAAAATCTTGTGGGTTTTTATAGGATTCTTATCTGGATCAAGCAGGACCAGGCATTGGGGGAAGGGAGCTCAAAGCTCAGATTTGGGGATTGATGCTGATTCATGTTAGTGGGGGATTGGAATCTGGTTTTAGGCTAGTGCTATTGGTCTTATTCTGACAGAGTGACTTGACTTCCCTGGGGTTTCTTCATTTAAGGAATTTGGAGGCTACTGAATTCCTTACAGTGCCGCTGCCCTAGAAATGCTGGAGTAGCCCAGCTGCTACTGGATCCTCAATTGTATTAAGACAGAATTTTCCTGATGACAGCTCCCTTTATTCTGACACAGCTTTTTCCCTCACACAAAACCCCTGTTAGCTTCCTTTGGTCCCAGCTTCCCCACAGGTTTCCCTAGTGAAGCTTCTTCCACCAAGGAAACCTTATTGGCCCCAGCTTTTCTGATGAAGCTCTCTGGCCTGGGACTGGTAAAAAGCCCAACCCATGTGGGCTCTGCATCTCGCAGACTTGGGTGCCCAAGACCATGCATGTTGTTATGTCTTGATGACTGACTGGCCAGACATGTTTCCCGATGGGAGATGAGGGGACCGACACAGGTCACAGAGTCGCTAAGTGCCATTGTATCCTTGCTGTATTAGGGCAAAGTAAATTTCCTCCTTCATTAAATGTTCAGTGACTCACAAATGCCTCATTTTGTCCCAACATCGAATTTGAACTAAGAGGGTCATGGCTTTAGAGCTGCTCCTACAATACCAAGGTTGCTCAGTTTTTTCCTTGTTACCTTGTAAATAAATCATGGGATGTAGTTTTTTGGCATATCTGTCTCTCTTTGGATACTTGTATATGTTATTGATGATTAATGATTATGTGTAAGAGTGTGTAAGACTTTCAACCCATAACTATCAGCTGTACAGTACTTTATTATGCCTTAAACTTGATGCTGTATGGTAAATGTTTCTCTTCATCTCCTCTCCACCCCCAATTCCCAAAAGCTAAGTATTACTGGTTGTTATGCTTTCCGTATAATATACTAATGCATCTGGGTACGCATAGGCTGTCATTTATTGAGCATCTACTATGTACAAAGTCCTTTGCTAGGTGATCTGAGAGTTGCCAAGCTAAATAAGACATACTTTTCCTTGAGGTGTTCACAAACTTAGCTGTAAAGAGAGACAAAAGAGAAGTCTTTTGGGACTTTGGAGAGTGATAGGACAACTTCTGATGTGATTTTTTTAGAGTGGGTGGTATTTGGGTTGGCCTTAAAGGGTGAGCATGATTTCAGTAGACAGAGATAATGGTGAACTAGTGTTCCAGTAGTGGGGAAAAGAATGAAAAAGATTGTAATGGTTGAAAAGTACAGGACATATTTGGGGAAAGACAAGTGTCCCAAATTGGCTAGAATATAGCATATATGAAAGAGAAATAGTAAATAAGATCAGAAAGGTAGGTTGTATCCAGATTGTAGAGGGCCTTGAATGCCGTATTAAGAAGTTTGAGTTTTATTAAGTGTAGGAAAAGTGTTTGAGTGGGATAGTGGTATCAAATTAGAATTTCTTTGTCTTCAAATATATTATATTGAGTTATAATGCAGATGGATTCTTGTACTTTCTTCCCCAGCATACATAGATAAATTATCTCTAATATCTTAGAGAGCTATAGTATTGAAGCATTATTGATGAACAAGTAACTGCTTCTCGGTCCCTAGAAAGTAGAGTTTGTTTTATTTTATTACTAGTTCTCCTATATTATCAAGAGTATCTGCTGCTTGCTGTTATCATCACTACTTGATTAATTGCTGACCCTACTGATCTCTACCATCCTAATCCCTCATTTTCCTTTCTTTTCTCTTGCCCATTGCTTCTCCTTACTTCATAACTTTTAAAAAAAAAAGTCTAATCTTTTATAGAAATCTTGCTAATTAGAGTATTTCTTTCCTTCCACAAGAAGAATTGACCAGTCACAGATTGTGGGACTTTTAACACTTCTTGGCTGTGTTTATTGGAGGGTACCTACGGGCTGCTGCTTCTCTATCAGATACTTTTTGGGGGTAGGAATGAATGGAGTTAGAATTAATACTGTGTTTCCTCTCTGAAGGCTGGTGTCCAAATAAATAAATTTTGACTATACCCTGCAGTCCTTTTCCTTTGCCAAAAGTTGGTGCTGATAGACAAGTTTAGGATAAACCCCCAGGTTTTAAGTTAAAGTTTGTGAAAAGCCCTTGACTTCCTTTGAACAAATAAACTACTTAGGTTGCTACTATTTCGTTTGAAGTTTTGATTTGTTGATAGAATTATTAATACTGAAGCTGCCTTTAAATTAAATCTAAGTGTTATGTTATTTTAAAGCTGTGGGTTTCCTCAGAAAGGGATGGATTTTTACTATGGATTAGAGAAATGCAAATCAAAACAACTCTGAGGTACTACATCACACATATCAGATTGGCCAACATGACAAAACAGGAAAATGATAAATGTTGGAGAAGATGTGGGAAAATTGGAACACTAATGCATTGTTGGTGGAGTTGTGAAATGATCCAACCATTTTGGAGAGCAATTTGGAACTATGCCCAAAGGGCTATAAAAATGTTACATACCCTTTGACCCAGCAATAGCACTTCCAGGGCTGTATCTCAGAGAGATCATATAAATGGGAAAAGGACCCACATGTACAAAAATATTTATAGCAACTCTTTTTGTGGTGACAGAGAATTGGAAATTGAGAGGATGCCTGTCAATTGGGAAATGGCTGAACAAGTTGTGGTATATGAATGTTATGGAATACTTTTGAGCTATAAGAAATGATGAACAGGCTGACTTCAGAAAAACCTGGAAAGACTTGTATGGTCTGACGCTAAGTGAATTGAACAGAACCAGGAGAATGTTGTTCACAATAACAGCCACGTTGTGCGATGACTAATATTGATAAACTTAACCCTTCTCAGCAATACAAGGATCTAAGACCTCTCCAAATGCCTCGTGATGGAAAATGCTATCCACAAAGAAGAAAGAACTATGGAATTTGAATGCACATCAAAGCATACTATTTGCTATTTTTTTTTCCTTCTGTTGTTTTGTTTCCTCTTTCTGGTGGTTCCTCCTATTGGTTCTAATTCTTACTTACAACATCACTATTGTGAAAATATGTTTAATAGAAATGTGTATGTATAGCCTATATCAGATTACATGCCTTCTAGGGGAGGGAGGTGGGGAGGGAGGGGGAGAAAAATTTAAAACGCAAAAGCTTATGGAAGTGATTGTTGATAATTCAAAATAAATTAAAAAAAAAGAAAGGGCTGGATTTTGCGATTTGATATGATCACCTCTTCTCCCCCCCCCCCCCCCCCTTTTGTATATTTGAGTGTATGTTTTTTTTTTTTTTTTTTTTTTTGCAGATTCAGTGTCTGTGGTTACATATCTATAACTCGATTTCCTGATACAATCAAGCAGATCAATAAATACAAAATTGTGATGACATCTCAGGGCAGGGAAAAATCTTTGATCACAGCAGAGACTGACTCACGTGGAGAATTTTGTTTTAAAGCAAAATCAGGGAACTATAAAGTCCAGGTAAGATGAGAGAATTTTAGTCTTACTTAAAAAGAATAGAGGAAACTTTCAGTTTTTGTTAAGTACCAGTTAAGACTAAATTCTCGATGAGATCCTAGTTTCGGGAAGCCCTCTTATAAACTTTGTAAATGCCTTTTTCCAGCTTCTCAAAGGTGACTTTCTGCATTTTTATTTCTAGTACAGCAAAGGTTCATCATGCTTTAATGTAGATTCTGATATACTCTTAAATGCTTTCTGAATTGACAACCAGTACACAAAGCATTATGTTTTTGACTCCATATATTGTGGATTTCTAGCTTTTATTATCAGGCCATTTCTCTCAAAGCTGGAACCATTAACAATCTATAGGACAGCATAATGAAAAATAGACGTTGATTCTTTAAATAAGAGTAGCAATTATGTAATCTTTTTTATATGAGTTAAAAATGGCTAAACATGGCCTTTTTTTTTCTTTTGGTGCTTATTTTAAGAAGTACTCAAAAAGAAAAGGACAATAGAAATAGAAATAGTACAAAAAGGATCCAGGCATATGATGTTAAAATTCCCTGGGTTGCATTTAGTGCTCGTGGCCTATGACTAAGGACCATTTTGCGAGTAGAGACATGAAGTTTAATGTTTTTCAGGTCAGTAGGATGAGTTGTGATAATGAACATGCTTCTGTCATTTAAGCTGGTACTCATTTAAGACCATAGATGAATATAGGTTGTTTGTGAACATGATTGTGAGTGTTAAATCAGGTTTCTTGGAATGAATATTTGTCACTTAAAAATCTATGTTATACTGGGCACAAACAAATGTACTTTGCGACAGACCAAATTGCGATTTTATAATGTTGTTCTGTGTATTTATGTAGGTGGTTGTGCCTGAGGCAGAAACCAGAGCAGGACTTTCTTTGAAACCCAAAATGTTTCCTGTTGTTGTTACCAACAGGCCAGTGATGGATGTGACCTTTTACCAGTTTTTGGCCTCAGTTTCAGGGAAAGTCTCTTGTTTGGGTAAGTTGTGAATTGAGAGCACAAACAGATAATTATGAAAAAGCAAAAGGGGCATGCTAGTGAAATTTTCTTCATATGGGGAAGTATTATACTGGTCAGCCAAGTATAATAATAGTGTTCTTAGCAGCATCTTAATTAATACAAGACAGTGGGGCCCTAGCCCCCAGATGCTGAAATTTAAAAGTCACTATTAGGCATATTCTACTATCTCAGAAACAACTTGGCTTAACACTTAGTTAACAAGTTAGTTAAAATAGGAAGATATCAAATGGCAAGTGCTTCCTCTCTCATGCTGCTGTTACCAAGTGGAGGATCTACCTTGTGCTTCCCACCCCTGAATTTAGCTTAGTTCATTTTGAGGGTGTGGTTTATGAAACTTGACTTAGGATCAGATTGTCAAGCTGGCTATGGAAAATACTAGTTGTGTCTCTGGTTCCTAGAGAGGGTTTTATGATGTCCTATTTTTCTCAATATGTACTGAATAAAGGCTAGCAGCAAGCCATTTAGAATAATTTTCCAAGGCATTTGTTCTCATCACCTTTGGCTCCCAGGGCATGTTGAGGATATTGGCTCTGTCTTAATTCTTCAGAGAAATTGTCTAATTTGTGACAGAGCAAGGGTTTTGGCTTCCTTTGGAATCTCATTGTCTCACTCTCATAGCCTTCACTAAAGTGCTATTTACTAGTATTTTGGTTCTAGTAACTTGTTTGCTCAGTGATGGATGTGCTAAAGAAACTCATACTAATTTCTTTTGAAGAATTAAATTGTCATAAATAATAGAGTAGAACTTTGAGAAGAGAAATAAGTGCTTTGGGTTTTTAAGCTTTAGCCTTTTGGGGCTTTCTGCTATACTTGACTTCCTTTTTTTTTCTTTGTTTCTTGTGTGTGTGTGTGTGTGTGTGTGTATGTGTTAGATACCTGTGGTGACTTGCTGGTGACTTTACAATCCATAAGCCGTCAGGGGGAGAAGCGTAGTCTACAATTATCTGGCAAGGTCAACTCCATGACTTTCACTTTTGATAATGTGCTTCCCGGCCGATACAAAAGTAAGATGCATTTGAACTTTTTTAGGTTTAGTTAATATACCTTATATTTCCTGCCAATCTTATTACTTTAAAAATTGTGTTTGGTCTTTTAAAATAGAATACTCAAAATCCAGTTAGAGCTTAATACCTTTACTTAATTCTTTCTTGTCCTTTTGTGCTGCATATATAATACATTATTAGGCATTAAAGAAAATGTCACAAACTGGTTGTCATCCTTATATAGGATAATATATTCTTTATCTTTTGATAAGTCTGGACTTCATGCCATTCCATTTCCAAATAATAGAAAAACGGTGGTAAAATAGTTTCATTGTTGTGTAAACATTATGGTTTTATCTAGTACATTTTGTTAATGAAGTGACATTGGCGGCTTGCTTTTACTTTTTCAGAATACTGTATTGCTTCTAAGTGTAGTAAGTGACAGTGTCCTGAAGAAGTACAGGGCATGTTTTCCATTTTTATTAACTTAGATCTGTGATTTCATTGATTCACTCTCCACAGATGCAAATCCCTTCTATGTATTTGTTAATGACCTTCTAGGTGACAAATCAGAATAGAATTATCAACATTAAGTCTAAAGAAATCCTTATCTTAACTGCCAAAGTTTTGTAGGTTGCTAAGGCTAAAATTACCTGGTAGATAGTTTCTCTGAACTTAGCCAGTCTGGTTCTTGTACATTATTCTACTGCTGGAGTCATACTTTGAAACCTTTTTGACTTAGTAGGAGCTTCTAGTATTTGTACTCCGTTGGCATAACGTTTGTGCATGGGCTGTCTCAAGAGGTATAATAGGTTCCCCGTCACATGAAATCTTCAGATGGTTACATGAGGATAACTACTGGGGTATGATGTTGTAACTATGCATTTTACTAGATAAGCTCAGATGTCTTCCAGTTCTGAGATTATCTGCTTTTTTGAGAAGCCAGTACTACTTCTATACCATAATGAGGCATCTAAGTAGGATTTTAGTACCATTTAATTAAAATTTATTGAAATTCTTTCTTACAGCCTGATTTTTTTTTTTAACTAGGCCAAGTCTGATTTATTTTTTGCTAATTTTAAGGACAGAAGATCATTATCTTTTTTTCCCCCCATTTTCCAAGAATTAGAAATTCTTGGGAAGAAAGATACTTTGTTAATGTTATATATGGTATTGACCACCATGCTTTTTTCCCCCCAGTAAGTATTATGCATGAGGATTGGTGCTGGAAGAATAAAAGTCTAGAGGTGGAAGTTACAGAAGAGGATGCATCAGGGATTGAATTTAGGCAGACTGGCTATATGCTAAGATGTTCGCTTTCTCATGCAATTACCCTGGTATGTATGGAATGTGGGAGATAGTCTCATTTAGAGAGGAGAGAGCAATAGACTATTGTTGCTAAGAATTTTGTTTGGAAAAATTACATTGTGTCTCAATTTCATTGTCATTTTACTTACCTCTCATAGGTATTTTGAGAAATGATAAATAGGATACAGCTTAAGTTCCTTTGGGAAAAGATACCTATATTAATTTCATATGATTGTCCAGAGTTAAGTCCTCAGTTTTGGAAGGTAAAACATTTTTGGAGGTGAATTAGATGAGAAGCTTTTTAAAAATAAACTAAGAGGCAACTAGGTGACACAGTAGATAGAGCACTGGAGTCAAGAGGACGTGAGTTCAAATGTGACCTCAGACATTTAACTAGCTGTGTGACCCTGGGCAAGTCAATTGTCCCAATTGCCTCCAAAAAAAAAAAGGTTAATATTTACAGTTTTTTTAAACTCTGAACCGCTTTATTTATTCTTAAAAGGAAAAAGATTAATGTTAGAAATTAATTCCTTTCCATTAGAATAGATCCATTTTTTTGCCTTACGAACATGCAGGTTTTTAGTGTGCAATATAGGCAGCTATAGCAAATTTTATTCTGTGTTGAGTGTTCGTTTCGTGCAGAGCAAACAAAAGTTTATAAGTTCCACAGTGGTGCTTTTTCCTCTGATGGAGGAAAAAGTTCCTTTGTGGACTAATGGACATTGGCAAATCTGACCTCAACTAGGAGAATAACATCATTCCATTTATGAAGCTCAGATTGTCCAGAATTCATTAGCTTTAACATTTTTTGACACCAGTAGGTGTCAGGTACCTGAGACGTGAAAAAAGTAAATGACTAGTTACACCATGCACTGCAGAAGTTGAGAGAGGAAGTTAGCATTCTTAATTCTTGTATGTTTTTCTAACAACTTAGCTATACACTTAGAAATAGTTATAATACCTATTATTATTACCTAATTGTTACCTAGCCAGTAGGTAATGATACCGATGCACAGGAAAAGATATTATATTTTTGTGGGAGTCTATGCAGGTATTAAATTTGGATTTGACTCATAAGTTCTTCAGTGATAAATAGGCATAATATAAACATGTTATAAATAGGTCTTGAACATAAAGGGTGTCCCTTTCTATATAAACATTACCGATTGTCTTATCATCCCTCTGTTTCCTGGTAAATCATTGTGCTGTCTTTGGTCCCTTAGGAATTCTATCAGGATGGAAATGGACCTGAGAATGTGGGAATTTATAACCTATCCAAAGGAGTGAACCGATTCTGTCTGTCAAAGCCTGGTAAATTTAGCAGGATTAATGTTGCTGCTAGTTAGAATGATTGAAACTCACCAGAGAATGATCTTAAAGGCAGCTTTCTTTCTTGGCTTTATTTGCATTTTAACTTATCAATTTTCAGTGGCATTGAGTTTTTCTGCTTCATGGAAGAAGCAATCACTTAAATGGATTAAATTAGATAATTTGCACTGGACTCTTTCATTTTTATTTACATAAAAATAGTACCACATGTTTAAATGATCATAATATTTATGAGTAGATATATCATTCTTTCTAAAGGTTAACTGTACTGGTAATTAACTGAATTTTTCTTTGTTTTCAAAGGTGTATACAAAGTGACCCCACGATCTTGTCACCGGTTTGAACATGGATATTATACTTATGACACGTAAGCTTAACTTACTTATAAAATGTTTCATAGTTTGCAAGCGTATTTTTTTTTTAAAGAGAAAAACATGTACTTTAATCTGTAATCCAAATCTATTAGCTCTCTGTCTGGAGATGGATAGCATGTTTCATCATAAGTCCTCAAAAACTGGTTGATTATTGTGTTGATCAGAGTTGCTAAATCTTTCAGTTGATTGTCGTTCATTTGTTTTTTATTTGTGTCTGACTCTTTGTGATGACCCCATTTGGGGTTTTCTTGGCAAAGATACAGGGTTGGTTTGCTATTTCCTTCTTCAGATGAGGAAACTGAGGCAAACAGGAGATTTGCCCAGAGTCATAGAGCTAGTAAATGTCTGAGGCCAGATTTGAACTCATGAAGATTAATCTTCCTGACTTCAGGCCCAACACTCTATCCAGTGCACTACCTAGCTGCTTTCCAAGTTGATTATATCTCTACAATACTACTGTTATTGTACAGCATGTTCTTCTGGTTCTTCCTTCACTTTGCATCAATTCATAAAGTCTTTCCAGGTTTTTTGAAACCTTTCTCTTTATCATTTCTTACAGCATAGCAGTATTTCATCACATCCATATAGTATAACTTGTTCAGCCATTCTTCAGTTGATGGATATTTCCCCAGTTCCAATTCTTTGCCAGTACAAAAAGAGTTTCTTTAAATATTTTTGTACATATAAGTCCTTTCTCTTTTTAATCTATTTGGCATATAGTCCTAGTAGCAATATTGCTAGCTTAAAGGGTATGCATAGTTTAATAACTTTTGGGAATAATTACAAGTTGTTTCCCAGAACAGTTGGACTAGTTCACAGCTCTACCAACAGTGTATTAATGTACCTCGTTTCCCACAGCCCCTGCAGCATTATCGTTTTCCTTTTTTTGTCAGCTTTGTCAATCTGATGGGTATGAGGTAGTACCTGACAGATTTTCACTTAATTTTTTAATTTTAATTTTCAATTAATTTTCACTTCTCCAGTTATTAATGATTTAGAGCATTTCTTCATATGGATATTGATAGTTTCAATTTCTTTCTCTGAAAATTACCTATTCATTTCCTTTGACCATTTATCAGTTGGGGAATTGTTCTTTTTTTTGTAAATTCTCTTTGAATTTTTAGAAATGAGACCTTTATTAGAGAAATGTGCAAGTGCTTCTTTTGTTTTTGTTTGTTTTTGGTTGGGCAATGGAGGTTAAGTGACTTGCCCAGGGTCACACAGCTAGTAAGTGTTATGTGACTGAGCTGGATTTGAACTCGGGTCCTCCTGAATCTCGGGCCGGTGCTCTATCCACTGCACCACCTAGGTGCCCCCTGCAGGTGCTTTTTAAGAAGATAATGAATAGTGGTTCTGATTTCATTGGGAATAGAAGGAATTGTTTTATTTGCAGCAAGAAGAATTTAAATCATTTATCAGAATTTTTCTGACAAGGGTTGTGAGACATTAGTATATATTGCTGAGAAAATACCTGATGAATCTTCTTTCTTGGAGTTTAAGAAAAGGGTAGAAAAGCCTACGGAGTATGGCTTAAATGAAGAGTTGTGTTTTTTTTTTTTCCAATTTATTTATTTATTTTTAGTTTTCAACATTTACTTCCATAAGATTTTGAGTTCCAAATTTTTTCCCCATCTCTCCCCTCCACAGACATGTCCCTCTAAGACAGCATGTAAATTGATATAGGTTCAACATATATGTTCATATTGAATCTATTTTCACATTAGTCATGTTGTAAAGAAGAATTAGAACCAATGGGAGAAACCATGAGAAAAAAGAAACAACAACAAAAAAGAGACAGCAAATAATATCCTTTGATCTGCATTCAGACTCCATAGTTCTTTTTCTGGATGTGGATAGCATTTTCAGTCATGAGTCTTTTGGAGTTTTCTTAGTTCCTTACATTGCTAAGAAGAAATAAGTTTATCAAAGTTAGTCATCACACAATATGACTGTTATGGTGTACAATGTTCTCCTGGTTCTGCTCGCTTCAGTCAACATCAGCTCATATAAGTCTTTCCAGGTTTTTCTGAATTTTGCCTAATGCAAGCTTTTTTTGAGTCTGTTCAGTTCATGTCTACATAACTCAACGGACAAGATTTATTCAGCTCTTTCTTTTATATACTTTCAGATTGTTTCTGTGTTTTGGGGCTGTGTTGACAGTGAAAGAATTTTTGTTTAGAATGCTGTTTATTTTTCTATTAGTATTTCATTTAAGAGATATTTTATTTCAAAACAAAATAGGCCAAGAAGATAAGAAAGGACAGTAAGAAGGATTACCAGAAATGGGTTAGTCCTTTGGGAGTTACTAGGTATTACAATTTGGTTCAGTTCTTCTTTCTGGTTTACAGGTCTTCACCCAGTATCCTGACACTAACAGCCATTCGGCATCATGTTCTTGGAACTATCACCACTGACAAACTATTGGATGTTACTGTGACCATTAAGTAAGGCTAATGTGGAGTTGAGTGGTTGGGAGAGGGGATGCTGAGAAGTCTCATTTATAGAATTTTGGAGTTGCAGGGGAGCTTTAGAGACAATCCCATAATAACATCATTTTATAAATGACTAAAGTAATACCTAGAGAACTTAAATGGCTTGTTGCCCCAAGTCACAAGTAGCTAGTGGCATATTAGAACCTAGATTTCCACCTTCATATCCATTGTTCTGCTACCCCACTTCTCTTAAATGGCATTAACATTTTTTCAGCCTGTAAGACGAGTCATTTGTGTCTTATGTTTAATCTCGAGCTCTTCTTGTGCACAGAATTACATAGTGTTTTCATTCATCTTAGTTCAGGTTTTAGGGCAGACTACTTTCTTAATTTTCCCTCCTTTAAACCTTTTCTTTTAAAGCATGTGAAATGGAGATGAAGCCTCCTGACTAAGGAAAGCTTAAGAAAACAAAATTATAGCTCAGGTTATGCCCACCTGTCTGTGTTATTCAAAAGGGACTGCTGATTTATCTACTGTTAAGGTGCTGATATGCCGTCAGTGACGCACATCTGATCCCTTAATTTTCTAGAGAATTTAAAGGCAATGAATCTTTGTCAAATGAAATTTAAATATGATCATCATTTTGTCTTTCTTGGAGGCCTGTTTTTGGCTAATACTTTATGCTTTCTTCTCAGTAGTAGTAGCAGCTTTTTTTACTCATTTTCACTCCTTTAAAATAGCATTTGTATGTCCTCTGAGTTTTTTTGTAGTGAGTTATATTCTGGAAGAGAAAGGTCAAAGTGATACTAGGATGGAAACAATATACCAAAGATCATAGTATAACTTAAAAATGGATAGATTAAGTTAATATTAAATATAGTCTAGGCATAATAACTTAAAATTTTTTCTGTGAAAAAATGTAATAGAATTTCAGAGTTGGTCCATCCTGTACTTAAACAAGATTCCTTTTTGTAAGATAACCAGTTTGTGATTATCCAGTCTGTGCTTGAAGACCTACAATGAGAGGCAACCTACTGTCTCCTGAGGCAGCCCATGTTTTAAGGTAGTTCTGTTTGTGAGGAAGTTGATTTCCTTTCTTTCTCAGCCACATTCCTTGAAAAAGCTGTTTACGTTCAGCTCTTCCATTTCTTCTTCCCTTCTCAATTTTGCAATCTGGTTTCTGACCTCATTATTCAGTTCAAGATGCTTCCCATCAGCTTTACTCAGTCCTTGGCTATTGAATTCCAGGCTCCCCTGTTCCATTAATTTTCTGCCTCCTTGATGTTTCTTCTCCATGGGTTTCTGTGATAGTTCTCTCTCTTGATTTTTCTTTTACCTGGCTGCTTCTTTCCAGTGTCATTTGTTAAATCAGAATCCAGGTCACTTCTCCTAACTCTGTGTGTACTTCAAGGCCCTGCCCTGGACCCTTTCTTTCTCTCCATTCTCTCTTTTGGCGATGTCATAAGCTCACATGAGGTTAATTATGTCGCTGCAGATGACTTCTGGATCTATATATATATATCTAGTTTTTGTCTCTTTCCTAAGCTCTAGTCCTGATTGCCAGTTGGACATTTCAAATTCAATGTCAAAAGCCAACATTTCCAAAAAAGAACTTAGTATCTTTCCCACCAGACCCCCCATTTCACAAATTTCTGTATTTTGTTCACCACCATCTTGCTAGTTACTCAAGTTTACAATCTAGGTGTCATCCCTAAATGCATATTTATTTACCCAACATTTTTGGTCAGTTGCCAGATCATGTTTTTTTTTCTTCATAACATCACAGTGTCTCCTACCTCCTTCCTTTTCATAGCTGTCACCTTTTCCCTGGATAATCATGATAATATGAATTGTTTTCCTGCCTTAAGTTTCTCCCCACCCGCTGCTAGGTGATTATCCTCAGGTTTGACTGTTTCGCTTCCCAACTCTATGTCAGTGATTCCTCACTATCTCTTGGTAACTCATTTATTGTGCTTTACAGCCTGACCCCAGTTTTCCCTTCTAGCCTTTTTGTGTGCATTACCTTTCATATACACTACAGTCCAGCCAAACTATCTTCTTAGTGTTCTTCACACATCTGACTTCATTTGCCATCTTGGTGTTTTTGTGCAGGCTGTTCCTAGTGGCTGCAATTCACTTTTTCCTTACCTTTTCTTCTTAGAATCCCTAGTCTTTTCCGTAGCTCAAGTCAAGGGCTACCTTTTACATAAAGTCATTCCTGATTCCCCTTCGCCCTCCAGCTGATATTCACTTCCCTCAAAAATTATCTTTTTTATATTTTGTATCTGCATTGTATATTTTGTTATATACCTGTTATCTGCCCTGGTTAGATGATAAGCTGCTTGAGAATAGGGACTATAACCACTTTTCTTTATATCCCCAGGACCTAGCATAGTTTCTGGTACATAGTAGGTACTTAATAAATGCTTGTTGATTGATTGAAACCCTATTTCTTAGTTATGGAACTAGTCAGCCACCCTCTAGCTGCTTCTGACTTACCCAAGAATTACAATTTATAGAAGCAAAGTCCCTAAGCAGTCTGCCGGTAAGAGAGATTAAATCGCTCAATGTGGGTCCTATTCCCTTTCTTTTTTTCAGGTCCTCAATTGACAGTGAACCTGCCTTGGTTTTAGGCCCCCTAAAGTCCGTGCAGGAGCTCCGTAGGGAACAACAATTGGCTGAAATTGAGACTCGCAGGCAGGAAAGAGAGAAGAATGGCGAAGAAGAAGGAGGAAGGACAAAACCCCCAGTGCAAGAGATGGTGGATGACCTGCAGGGTCCTTTCTTATATGATTTCTCTTATTGGGCCCGGTGAGTTGTTTTACTCTATGTCCCTGTTTTCTTGTTAAAACAGGGAAGAGAAATGACCAATGTTAACTCTCTTAATTGTTTTAGATCTGGAGAGAAAATCACTGTTACACCTTCATCTAAAGAACTCCTCTTCTATCCTCCTTCAGTGGAAACAATTGTTAGTGGAGGTAAAATAAAACCTATTGTGCAAAAAATGCATTTTAGTTGTTAAACTGTGGATATTTTGCTTTATGGAAAGGGGTGATTCTTTCTTGAAATCAGAAATTATCAGGTGGTGCTAGTGGTAAGAAAAGCCACCTTTAAGAATCAAAGTATATTATAATTTATGTTCTTAAATTCTGTAGGATCTTTTTTCTTATTGTGGGAGTTAGTAGCAAACATTGTTAAAAGTGGAAACAGAATAAATAATTCTTTTTTATGGAAACCTTCTATTCCTTTAGAAATAGTTTTTCTTTGCTTTTTGGGGATCTCATATTGTTCCTTCATACATTTTTATTCGTTGATATAAAAGTATAAATTGTTGCTTAGCTTTGTACTCTGGTCAGGAAGCTTTATGTTTCAGTGCTCTAAATAGTTCTTTTCTTTCCATGTGGATCTCAACTTAGTTTCTTTTGGACCTCAGTTTTTCTGTTCATTAAGTGGGCATGTTAGCAATGATCTACCTGCCTCAGGCTTAAGAACTGTATAAATCCATCCTTATTAAATTTGGTTGCTGCATTTCTTAGATATTATAGAAACATAGAATTATCTTGCTCTTCTCTCCTTCCCCTTTAGAAAGCTGCCCTGGGAAACTGATAGAAATCTATGGAAAAGCAGGCCTGTTCTTGGAGGGCCAGATTCACCCAGAGTTAGAAGGGGTTGAAATAATCATTAGCGAAAAGGGAGCCACTTCTCCACTAATAACAGTGTTCACTGATGACAAAGGTAGCTATAGGTAAGCACCTGAAATGGAAGCATTTGCATCTGTACAGTTTTTTTTGTTAACTGCTTTTCTAAAAGAGTTAGGAAGCAGAGTTCCCTTGGATTGGGCCATACGGCCTAAATCTCTTTAAGATTAAAAGCAGATCATTATGTTTTTTTGTCTTTAAGTGTTGGACCATTGCACAGTGATCTGGAGTATACTGTGGCGTCACAGAAGGAAGGATTTGTTTTAACTGCACTCGAGGGAAGTGTTGGAGACTTCAAAGCTTTTGCCTTGGCAGGAGTAACTTTTGAGGTATTGTTCTGGTTGCTTGATCTTAAGATTTCATGTTATAAATAAATTAGGTGACTCAACTGATATAGAGTATATTTGTCAAGTTATTGAATACAAAATGTTCCTATGTTAGCAAAGGGACTAAATCTGGAATACCATTGAATTTAGGATATTTTCTGTATGTTTTGGAAAGTGTCTAAGTCTCCAGCCCCTCTGTGGCCTATAATACCAGATTGTGATTTTTCTTTGTATCTTACTATAGTGTCTTGCCATTTTAATTGTTATTTTGATGGAGTATGATATTTTTTAAAAAATTGTCCTTTGTGTTGAATCTGGAGATCTCTGAGTGAGAGTACATTTCTTTTTGTATCTAAAGCTCTGAAACAACCATATTGTGATTTATAACACATACTTAAGGAAATTTCAGATACTCGAATGTATGTGATCTCAGCCATGAAGCAGCAACTTGTAACTTGTCCATTTGAGTGATTCTTCTCTGTGCCTTCCCAAAGTTTGCCACAGAGTCTACCCAACATGGTGGAGGGTTTCCTAATTTCCTAACCTTCTTTTGACATATCAGGGGTACCACTGGAACACTCTGACTTTATCTCTCAGCATATGACCAGCTTATCTTTTCTTCCTATTGTACAATTTTTTTTGTTGGTGAATTTTCTTTTTCTTTTTCAGTTCCTATTGGTTTTATGTTTCAGTCTACTCAAACCCATTGAGAGTATGGATTATTTCATTCTTTGTACTTGTATCCCCAGCATCTAGCACAGTACCTAGCACATAGTAGACACTTAATAAATACTTGTTCATTGAGTGATCTATCATGTATTTCTCCAAATGATGCATATTTTCAGTTTTTTTGGAGGTAGTCATGTCTCACATTTTGCTGCCAAATATCAATACTTGTAGAAGTTCGTTTTCAAAAGACGAGCTTTTGCTTTCATGGGGAAGCTTGAGGTTGGTAAAAGAGCTTTGTGATTTCTCAAAAGCAACCTGGCCTGCTTTTGTCCTCTTTTTTGACTTTGGACCCAGGTTCTGTATGTACCATCTGTCCCATATGCATACCATAGGATAAACTTTATAGGGTTTCTATCTTCAACAGTATGTTGAAATTTGGGCAATGTATATTCTTCAATCACTTGGCCTCTCCTATTTGGATGGAGTGATAAACAGCAGTCTTCCAAGAGGCTTTGCAATGTTCTGGGGCTTGAGACACAATGTCATTCACAGACACTGTCCAAAGGGACTCCCTTGTCAACCTGGACTCTGGTCCTGGAGTCAGGAAGGCCTGAGTTCAAAGATGACATCTCAGACACTTACTAGCTGTGTGACCTTTGGCAAGTCACTTAACCTTTGTCTACCTCAATTTCATCATCTGTAAAATGCAAAGAATAACAGCCTCTACCTCCTGGGGTGTTGTGAAGATCGAATGAGATATTATTTGTAAAGCATTTAGCACAGTGTCTGGCACATAGGTGCTTAATAAATGCTTGTTTCCTTCCTTTTCCCCATCACAGTGACGAATAACTGTGCTTCATCTGTTATTTATCTTCAGAGGGTCATCATCGAAAAGTTTTATTTCTGTAGTGATGTTTTCCAAGAACTCTTAAATAATTGCGATTCATGTATTGGAGACACCTTCTTCAATGGAATCAAATTCTTTTTTGTAATCAAGAAATAGGCGTAATGGGATCTTATATATTCTACCTCTTTTGGTTAATTGTGAAGTGGGTAAAGACATGCTCCAATGTTGCTTTTTTCAGTGACTAAAATGTTCTTTCTCCCTCCCACCTCAGACCCCACAGTTGTGGGGGGGGAACCCCAAAGAAATTCCTAAAATTCTTTGTTACCTTGCACAAGGAGTCTACCTCTTGGCTAGGAGGTGGGTAACATACTTCATCCCTGGACTTCTGGAATTGTGGTTGGTCATTGCATTGATCAGAAGTCTCAGGTCTTTCAAAGTTGGTTGTCTTTAAGATACTGTGATTGAAAAAATTGTTCTGGTTATTTCATTCTGCATCGGTTTATACAAGTTTTCCTAAGTTCTCTGAAACTATCCCTTTCACCATTTTTTATGGCACAATATTATTCCATTATATTCATTTACCACAACTTGTTCAGCCATTCCCTAATTGATAGGCATTCCCTTAGCTTTCAGTTCTTTACCACTACAAAAAGAGCTGCTATAAATATTTTTGTAGATTCATGCCCTTTTCCTCTTTCTTTGATTTTTTTTGGGGGATATACACCTAGTAGTGGCATTATGGGTCAAAGGACATTATTCACAGTTTAAATTTTTTGGGGCATAGTTCCAAATTGCTTTTTAGAATGGCTAAACCATTTCAGAGCTCTACACAGCACATTAATATGCATTTATCATTTTCATTTTTTGTCAGATTTGACATCCTAGTGGATGTGAAGGGGAACCCCAAGATCAATCAATATCTATTAAGTGCCTACTATGCACCAGGCACTATGTTAAGCACTGGGAATATAGAAAGAGGCAAAAGACAGTCCCTGCCCACGAGGACCTTACAGTCTAATGGGGGAAGACAACATGTAAACAAATACATATAAAGAAAGCATTTACAGGTTAAGTAGGAAATAATTAACAGAGGGAAGGCACAAGAATTAAGAGGGGTTGGGGAAGGCTTCCAGTAGAAGATGAGATTTCAGTTGGGACTTAAAGGACTACAGGGAGATCATAAGTAGAATTGTTTTAATTTTCATTTTTTTCTAATTATTTGTGATTTGGAGCATGTTTTCCATGTGGCAGTTTCCTAGGCTTACTTCAAGTCTTATGTCATATTCTGCCTTCTGTAGGATAATTATCCCAGTTCCCTCAGCAATTAGAGCCTTCTCCTCTGAGATTGCTTTCTCTCTACTCTTAACATATCTTATACCTACCTACTTATTTTCCTGTCTCCTCCATTTTAATGTGAGAACCCTGAGGGCAGGAACCATTTTTTGCCTTTCTTTGTATCCCCAACACTTGGCACAGTTCCTGGTACAGAGTGAAAGTATAATAAGTGTTTTTTGACTGACTGATTGATTCACTCAAGGATAATGATTACACAGCAATAATAATATTAAGAATAATAGCATTTATAATATCACTTTAAGGTTTCCAAAGTGCTTTACATATGTTATTTCATCCAGTCCTCAGAATAATCAGATAGATACTATTAACCTTTGGCCCTTGCTTCTGCCTGAGCAATGTTTTCCCCATCAGTTTGTCCCCATTTTCACTAAGAAAGTCATCCATGGTAAGTATGAAATAATTTTGATGTTACTTTATTATAACAGATAAAATCTGAAGATGACCAACCACTTGCTGGAGTCCTATTATCCCTCAGTGGGGGTGTGTTCCGTTCCAACCTTCTGACTCAGGACAATGGGATGCTGACCTTTTCAAACTTGGTAGTGTATTCATGTGTAATTGGCTGCTGTTTGCCTATAGGGGAAGGCAGGGGTGGAGCGTACATTCCTTGTGTTCATCTTGTAAATATGAAAAGGAAAACTAACTTGTAGTGTTTCAGATCCTCTGGAGACCAAATCCAATTTGAACATTGTTAGTACCAGAACTTTAGCTGCTGATTCATGTTTCTCTTTACACAATCATTGCATATTCTTGCCTTGCACCTGTCACAAAGATGTTGTAATTAATTACCCTGGCCACAGCTCCTTCTACGTATCTCCCATTGTTTCACAGCAGGATTGCAGTGTTTATGATCTTGAGTATTGTAAGGTAGTTATTTTTTGTGTTTCTTTTCCAGAACATGTACCACATATTGGAAAAACAGCACTCAAATAAGTCACTAGTATATCCTCAGAAAGTATAATAGCCATCATATCAGTCCTGTGGAGAACTGTCCTCAAAGATAGGATAGGAGTGATCTTTCTTAGCCTGTTAAGAACCAGGAGAGCTATATTAGTGGTAGTTCTGACCTCGCTGACTGAAGTTTTCTTCATTCTTACTGGGTTGAAAATGCTGTAGCACAAACCTCCCATTTTCGGTTGTTTCTTGGCAGAGCCCAGGGCAGTATTACTTTAAACCCATGATGAAGGAGTTTCGTTTTGAACCTTCCTCACAAATGATTGAAGTGCAGGAAGGGCAGAATCTGAAGATTGCCATTACTGGTTATAGAACAGCTTATAGGTAAGTGTCCCTGGGTCTCACAAAAAAAGCTCTGAACATGGTGGCTGAACTGTGGGATCTGACTTAGTGCTGTGCCATGTGGAAAGCAGACTTTGAGCATCTTCCCTTATTTCTGTAAGAGTGTTTTTTAGGGGAAGAGGAGGACGTGTTTGGAGTTGAAAAAATGATTTTTTGACCAGACTTGGCCTAGAATAGCTCTTTCGAATCAGTTGACTTGAATTAAATTGAAGAGAGAGTTGTGCTATCTTTCTTTTTTTTATTTTTAATTTTTTTTTTTTTTTTTTAGACAATTGGGGTTAAGTGACTTGCCCAGAGTCACACAGCTAGTCAGTGTCAAGTGTTTGGTCTGAGGCCAGATTTGAACTCAGGTGAAGACCTGAATCAGGGCCGGTGCTCTATCCACTGCACCACCTACCTGCCCCTGAGAGTTGTGCTTTCAGTGGAGCTATGTGTGGAATGAACATTTTGTTGTGAACAAAAGAGTGATGGGAAGGGGTTGGAAAATTGAGGATTTTCCTGAGAAAATGTGATTTTGGAAAGTTGAAATTAATTAATTTTTGCTTTCTTAAATATTTCATTATCTGGAGAAAAAGTTACATTTTATTACAATTTTTCAAGGGCTTTGGAAAAATGTTTAAACATAAGAATTGATTATAACGTACAGGGATCAATACAGGAAATATGTGGAAGTAGATCACATAATTACACTTGTTTAGTTTGTTGGAAACTGAGTATTTTGTACTGTTTTGTTCTGTAAATTTTATACTCATTTTTTCTGTTATCAAATGTAAGTCATTTTATTTGAAATCCTTTATCTGCTGTAGAATTCTATGGAATGCTCACATGCTCCTTTCTTCCTTCCTCCTCTTCTTTCTAGTTGCTATGGTACAATTTCTTCTCTAAATGGAGAACCAGAACAAGGAGTTGCTGTGGAAGCAGTAGGACAGGGTGATTGCAGTATTTATGGGGAAGATACTGCAACTGATGAAGAGGGAAAATTCAGGCTTCGAGGATTATTGGTAAGAATCAAAACTTCTTTATTATACTTTCTGTATTTCTTTGCATCATATTATTTAGCAAGATGGTTGGGTATTACCATTTTATTTTGCTAAATGTTTTCTTTGATGCTTGACATACATCCACTTCTCAAGACTTTGTGTGTCCCAGATGTGGAATGAGGCATTTCTTTTCAGACTTGGCCAGTGTGTGGATTTGTTTTACTTAACTATACTTATTTATTAATAAAGAAGGGTTTTTCTTTTGGAGGTGCCATGGGGGAAGCCATTGGGAAGTGACAGTGATAATTTAAAAATAGCATCAATAAAACATTTAAAAAGAAAAAAGAATCACAACTTCAGGTTTGCTGTTTTACCCAAGATTATCATGGATGAAGACATATTGTTCAAGAACTCTGCAAGAAATTGTGACCTAGAGTTATGAGCAGAATCAGGTTTTTGTCGTTGAATCTTTTTATGAGGCATGCCCTTTATCAAAGCCTAGAAGTTAACTTTATACAATTAAACAGTATTGCTGAGAATAAAGGCAGAGCCTCTGTGTTCTGCCATAGTTGAGCTTGGTGTGTTCTCCAGGCATGGAAATGATAAAGTATGATCTGTTCCACCCTGGTTTTGTGATAATATCTTAGAAAATATCGATATCTTTTGTTTTTAACATCACCTTCATGTCTAAATACATCCCTCTTTTACCCACTGAACGATCTCTTGTAAAAGACACTGAAAAAGAAAGAGGAAAAAAAAAGGCAGTTCAGCCAAATCAATCAATACATTGACTATACATTGAGAGTATATACAATATTCTGTATCCATAAGTGTAGAATACATCCGTCTCTGCAGTGAAGGGAGATTATAATTATATCTTCTTAATTTACACTGTTGTAATTATTCTGTGTATTATTTTCCTGGTTCTGCTTACTTCACTCTGTATCAGTTTATGTAACTATTCCCATGTTTCTCTGAATTCTTTTTTATTATTTCTTGAAGTGCAGTAGTATTGCTTTATAGTTATGTTCTACAATTTAACATTCCCCAGTTGATAGGCGTCTACTTTCTTTCCAGTTTTTTGCTACTACACAAAATGCAGCTATGAATATTTTACTATATATCTCTATCTCTGTCTATCTATCTACCTATCTTTCTATCTATGGCTTTTATTTCTGTCTTTGAACTCTTTTGCTTCTAGCAGTTGGATCTGGGTCAAAGGGTATGGAATTTGAGCCACTTTTTAAAAGCATAATTCCAAGTTGCTTTCCAGAATGGTTGGACAAATGCACTGCTCTTGCTGTGCTAGTTTTCATCTTATTCTTGTCAGACTCATAATATTTCAGAATTTTTTTGTTCAAAGATACAAATAACTATTTGAAGTGAAATTGTTTCAGATCCTAGGTGAACCACAAAATGTGTAACTGGTGATCAGAAATTGGTTGGTTCCATGGTTGGTTTTAAGGTAACTTTTCTAATGGTAATAACTCAGATTTATATAATGTTTTTAAAAGTTTACAAAGTACTTTCTTTACAACAACTGTGTGAAGCAGGTAATTCAAGCATTAGTCCCAGAGAAGTTAAAATAACTTTCCCAAAGTCACCTGGCTAGTAAATTTCAGGGCTGGGATTAGATTTCATGTTGAATGTTCTTTCCACTCTACCAGAATACCTCTCAGTAGAAGGTTAACAGATTTTATGCATAGGGAGAGAAATAATACCTTCTTGGTTAAGGCCAGAAAGCATTGCATGTACTGAACTTTTTCAGGATTTGTCATTGGTTTTATTTGCAGCCTGGATGTGTATACCATATCCAGCTCAAGGTAGAAGGTAATGAACATATTGAAAGAGCCCTCCCTCAGCATCGAGTAATTGAGGTAAGGCATTTAACTCTGTAATGAATCTTTTAATGATTAGCTCACATTCTAAAATATCGAATTAACTACCTGCATTTCACTTAGTTGGGTGACTTTAGATCTTAATAAAAGGTTCTCAGGATAATATTTCTTTATAAATAGTTCTTATAGCATGAAAAAGTATAATATTAGCATCATTAGAACAATTAATTTTGATAAGAAATTTTAACATTTGGTTCCTCTCCCTGTAAGTTCCTCAGGGAATTTAAAGTATGTGCTTATGGAGCTCTTCAGATCAAGGACATGAAAGAGAATATTGGTTTAAATGGTAAAGGATCGCTTCATTGTTGTTACCCAATTTTCCCTTATCCAAATGAATTTCTCACTTATCTCTTGACTTCCAGGAAAGTTTAATTAGCCTTCCATTAGATGGACAGCTTTTTTGAAGTGAAGGCCATTATTCAAACTAAATTGTCTAAGTAAAGAAGTATATATTAAATTCAGCAAAAAGCAGGTCAGGATTTTCATGTAGGACATTCCTCCTCTAATCTCTGTTTCCTGCTGCCTCTCTTCCCATATGCCTAATTTGCTAGGCCTGAGGGCATGGTTAAGAGAAAAGTAACTGACTTGGTTAGATTTGTATTTTGTACTTGTGGTTCTCAGGATAGAGTCTAAGGTAGCAAAGGTAGTATGTGGTACTCTGATTTGAAAAGGACTGTGGTGGCTGATGTGACAAGTTCGGGTAGTGGTTCATAATTGTACTTTTTTTTTTTTCCTGAAAGAGAGGAATAGTAGTTTTCTTTAGACCAGTAAAAAAAAAAATGTTTGGCTCCAATCGCATACGCAACTTCTTGATATAAAGTAAATATCAGGAATTCACATAACTAGAAGTTATTTTCTTTGGCTAATTCGTAATGCTGTGCATTTATTCTTTAATATATTTTAGGTTGGTAATTCTGATATTGATGATGTAAATATCATAGCTTTCCGGCAGATTAACCAATTTGATTTAAGTGGAAATGTGATCACTTCTTCTGAATATCTTCCTTCATTATGGGTAAGATTAAGTCTGTTTTTAATATAAATTTGGTTTTCTTTGACTTTAAGGTGAGTGGGAGCCATGAGTAGTGACCAGCAGACTATTACTGAAATACTAAGTATGTTCCTAAATTGGTTAGAGAAATTGATATATGACAATAGTTAAAGTTAGTATTTTAATGTTTGATTATAGCACTGTTAGAATTAACATAGCAGTTACTGAGTTTTTAAAAATAAAACTGATCTGAGCCCAGATGACCACATTTGTCTACAGTTACTCTTTGTGCAAATTGTAGAGGAAAGCTGATGAGTAATCAATATAGTGTGGGCCTTAAAGCAGGACAGTGTTAAGATGATTTAATACCATTTGCTTACTTAGCTTTTTGCTAAAAGATTCTTTTCATTTAGTGTTCTTGGGGGTGTTCATTTAGTGTTTTTATGATTTTATAATTACAGATTGATTTGGAAGGAGTTTTGAGATTTAATTCTACTGACCATCTATCTTTCATAAAATGATGGAAAACTGGCAGTTTAGACTCACAGAAAGTATGATTTTGGCCTTATCATTGGGTAAGAATAGGCTAGAGCCATCACAGTGCTTAGCATCTGCCAAGACTATACACAGCTCTTCTCTATGCTCATTTGCTCACAGTTTTGAGGACAGAAAGTGGGTCCGTTAGCCTGAGAAAAAAAGTAACTTTTTTTAAAGCCCCACTTAAGTGCTTCTTGAGGCAACAGAGGGAACTAAATGTAGAATAGAAGTACTTTTTTAGGTTTTAGGTGGAACATAATTTTGAAGCAAAGAGATGAGGAAGCCTTAAATTTCCATGAATCTCACCTTGTCAGGGCCTCAGATGATTGATGAGGGTACTATAAATTACTTGCCAGACTTGGGCATTTTCTTATTCAAATCACTATGCTTTTAAAGAATCCCTTCACTTAAGAATTAAGATATGCTCAGGATGTCAAAAGTGTGAGTCCTATTCCGGATTCAAAAGCACTCTGAAATGCTTTCCTTCTTTGATCACTTACTGTTTTTACTCTCACAGGTAAAGCTTTACAAAAGTGAAAACCTCGACAATCCAATTCAGACAGTCTCTTTGGGCCAATCTCTTTTCTTCCACTTCCCACCATTACTTAGAGATGGAGAGGTAATAGAGATTACTTGATTATAATTTTTGTTTTTGTTCTTGCTTCCCCTCTACTAAAAAAAAAAATTATGAGCATAAAATACGAAAATGTATGGGCCTACTCTTCACTCCTTTGCCAAAGGAATAACCAAAGGATTACTGAATGCTCTGTTAGTCAAGAGGGCTTGGATTATCTAGTTAATATAAAAATATTATTTCTAATAAGAAATAGGCCACCTGTTTTGGGGATTGAGAGAACAAACTTCAAGGATTTTTGGATCATTTTAATGGTATAGATTCATACTCTGAGATCTCTTTGAGATGTCTCAATTTATCAATTGAGACAATGATTTCTTCTTTTAAATTTTTTAAAATTAATTTATTTTTAGTTTTCAACATTCACTTCCACAAGATTTTGAGTTCCAGGTTTTCTCCCCATCTCATCCCTCGCCACACCCCAAGATGGCATGCATTCTGAATACCCCTTCACCTAATCTGCTCTCCCTTCTATCTCTTCTCCCCCATCCCTTTCCCCTTCTATTTTCCAGTAGGGCAGAATAGATTTCTATACATCATTGCCTGTATATCTTATTTCCCAGTTGCATGTTGAAACAATTTTTAACATTTGTTTTTAAAACTTTGGATCCCAAATTTTCTCCCTCTCTTCCTCCCCACCCATCCTTATTGAGAAAGCAGGCAACTCGATACAGGTTATACATGTGTAGTCATGCAAATCATTCCCATAGTAGTCATGTTGGGAAAAACTATTTTTCCCTTCACCCTATTCCCACCCCCCCATTTATTCTATTCTCTCTTTTGACTCTGCCCCTCCTTAGAAGTATTTGCTTCTGATTACCCCCTCCCCCAATCTGCTCTCCCCTCTATCATCCCCCTGCTCTCTTATCCCCTCTCCCCCAGTTTTCCTGTAGGGTAAGGTAGATTTCCATATGTGTATGATATTCCCTCCTTAAGCCAAATCCGATGCGAATAAGTCACTCACTCCCTCTCACCTTCCCTCGTTTCCCCTCCACTGTAAAAGCCTTTTATTGCGTGTTTTATGTGAGATAATTTACCCCATTCTACCTCTCCCTTTCTCCTTCTCCAAGTATAATCCTCTCACCCCTTAATTTTATTCCCCAGATATCACCCCTACATCTTCCCCTCACCCTGTGCTCTCTATTTATATGTCTATCTGTCTATATATGCACATACATAAAATTTTTTTCCCTCCAACTGCCCTAATACTGACAAAGGTCTTATGAGTTACAGATATCATCTTTCCATGCAAGAATGTAAACAGTTCAACCTTAATGATTTCTCTTTCCTGTTTACCTCTTCATGCTTCTCTTGAGTCTTGTATTTGAAAGTTACATTTTCTATTCAGGTCTGGTCTTTTCATCAAGAATGCTTGAAAGTCCTCTACTTCACTGAATGTCAATTTTTTCCCCTGAAGGATTATACTCAGCTTTGCTGGGTAGGTGACAGGCAATGATTTCTAATTGATAAGGCCAAATTTCATGGCCATTTCCCAAATCTAATCTGCCATCATATTCTATGGGATGATATAGTAACTTTTCTCTATGAAATATAACTAAAAGATAATTTTATGGTTACAGGGGTGCGGCCTTGAGGCTACAAGTGGCTCTCTAGGTCCTCAAGTGTGGCCCTTTGACTGAATCCAAACTTCATAGACCAAATCCCCTTAATTGTTCTGTGAAGTTTGGATTTAGTCAAAGGGTTGCACTTAAGGACCACTTGTGGCCTTGAGGCTGCAGATTCCCCACCTCTGGTTTAAAAAAAAATAAGGATTTCAGAATTTATATATCCCGAGCAGATATTTTCCTTAAGTTAGTGTCCTTGGGACTCTGTATATACTTACTCCAGCAATACTGCCATTACTTTAAAACATTTGTTTCAAAAAAATTAAATCTGCCCTCTTTGGACAACATTTGGTTACTATTAAGGATATTCAAGAAAATGTGCTGTAGGCTGTAATAACAGTTGTCAAAGAAGAGTTCCAAAAATGTTTTGAGCAAAGCAATTTGAGGAAAAGGAGAAGAGAATGAGCCCTAGATTGGTCACTGCCCTCTGTGGCCAGAGCCCTCCACTTCTATTCCTTTTAACCTGTGATGTCTGTGCCATCATCACTATGCTCCTATACTGAAGGTAATGCAGAGGCTACTGTTGTTTGCTAACCCAACCCCTCTGAAACTAGAATCCAAACCCAGAAGGGTTCTTGAAGAGAAGATAGAGATGTTATCCACAAGGGAAAGGCTGGCACAAGGATGGAACTATCCCTGTAGAACAAGAAGATGCCAAAACAAAACAAGCACAGATAACTGAAAGTGTTAAAGAACTGTAATTCTAGCGGCAATACAATTTGAAACACTGTTTTTAAAATACAGCTTTATGAAAGTGTTGAATTTGCTTTACTTTTTAAAAAAAGGTGTTCCTTTGTTTTAAATAAGTTTTGTTGATATCTTTTTTTTTAGCATCACCTATGTTTTCCAATGTAGTACTCTCCCAAAGAACTATCCTTTATTAAAATGAATAAAAAAGAGGGGAAAATTTTTCAGCAAAACTAACCACCATATCAGGAAAGTCTCATTTATAGGGAGTGTTCTACACTCATACTCTTCTGCAAAGAAGTGGGAGGGAGATGACTTTGTATAGCTTTTCTCTGGGGCTGATCTAGGACATTTTAATTCTATGGCGTTCAATTTTGAATGTTGTATTATTCTTTCCATTTACGTTGTTACAGTCATTGTATGTATTTGTTTTCCTTGTTCTGCTTACTTTACTTTGCATCATTTCACCTAAGATTTCTCACGCTTTTCTGTATTCATCATATTTGTGATTTTTTGCAGCACAGATAAATATTTTAAATTTATGTCTCAGAATCTGTGTAGCCTTTTCCCAGTTGACTTTGTTTCCAGTTCTTTGCTACTACAAAAAGTTCTGTGAATATTTTGGTATTTATAAAATCTTTTTGTCTTTTGTCTCCTTGGAGTATATGCTTAGCAGTGGAATCTCTGCGTCAGAGGGTTTGGACATTTGAGTTCCATTCCTCCTCACCTCTTTTCCCTCTCTCCCCCTCCTCTTTCTAAGTATAAATTCCACATTACTTTTCAGAATGGTTGCACCAGTTGGCAGTTCAGTCAATAGTGTTTTAGTGTGCCTATCTTCTCATAGTACCTCCAACATTAAGTATTCCCATCTTTTGCCATTTTTAGTAGTTTGCTGGGTGTGAAGTTAAATCTCAAAAGTTGTTTTTTGATTTTCATTTCCCTTTTTGGTGATTTGGAACAGTCTTTTCATGTTGGTTTAAACCTGCCTGTAGTTATTGATGATGGATTTTTTTCCTTTTTTTTTTTTAAATGGACAGAATTATGTTGTATTACTGGACTCTACACTATCCAAATCCCAGTATGACTACACCTTGCCTCAGATTTCTTTCACTGCCATTGGATATCACAAACATATTACCTTGATTTTTAATCCTACAGTAAGTAAAAGGGGTCTTTTTTTTAAATGGGAAAGAAAAATATGTGAAAATGTAGAGACTTTAGCTGTTTAACATAGATTGCTTAAGCCAAGTGATAATTGTGGGGTTTTTTGTTGTTGTTGTGGTTGTTAATTTGTGGTTTTCTAAGTCAGTGTACTCCCCAGCACCTTCTATTTGAGTTGACACCACTACACTATCCTGTCTGTCAGGTAGTAGCTAACATTTATATAGTACTTTAAGTTTTGTAAAGTACTTTACACACATTGTCTTTTGAATCTCCCAAACAACCCTGGGATTATAGATAATATGGCGATTGTTGTCCTTATTTTACACATGAGGGACTCAGACTCACAGAAGTTAAATAACTTGCCGCCAATAAGCATCAGAAGTGAGATTTGAATCCAGGGCTCTCCTGACTCCATATCCAGTACTCTACTCCTTGACTGAGAGTAGTAGAGAGTCTGGTCAAATTCCTAACCTGTTAAGTTATATGTTATGCAGTTATATGAGGTGTTTTCAGCAGAGCTTCAAATTCTGGGAGTTTGGAAACCATATTTTAGGTGACACAGGGATGAAATGGCTAACATATTCCTCTCAGCCCCAGCAGTGTTAGAAAATGCCAGAGATGATCATTCAGATGAATTCTTTGTCTCTGCCTTGGTACACATCCAAACCCTTGGTGAAATGAGAGGGCCTTTGTGAAGTGGCACTGATGGAATAAGGATGCAAATATACCTAAGTGCTTCCTTGCCAACAGAGCTGAAGCAGAGCGGTCTCTGGAACCAGGGACACTTAGGGAGCTAGTGTCAGGTAAATAGAGATGCCTTTTGGTGATAACCCTACGATCAAGCCCAGCTTATATTGTATCACTTTTGCAAGACTAGGAAGGTGAGCCAAGCAAGGGCTGTCTATAGGAGTGATAGACTTAGTAACTAGATTTCTCTGTTATACTAATCAGGCAAAGACAGCATATATGTTAACCTGTTGAGCACTTCTCAAAATCAGCAAGTATGTAACATTAATCAGTGCATCATCATAACTTCTTTTTATTCGTTCGATTGTATTTACTTTATTTTTTTTCTTGTTTTGTTTTGTTTTGTTTTTTGGCTAGGCAATGGGGTTGACTTGCCCAGGATCACACAGCTAATGAGTGTTATATGTCTGAGGCCATATTTGAACTCAGGTCCTCCTGAATCCAGGGCCAGTGCTCTCTCCACTGCACCACCTAGCTGCCCCTGATTGTATTTACTTTAATGCAGGTAGCATACTAACCAGTATTGCTATAAATACAAATTTCTTGGCATTAGGACATAGGAAACTAATTTTGGGGGCCTTGTCCTTCTTTAATATATGCTTTTGGGAAAAGTCAGTTGATTTATCTGGCATTTCATTTTATCTTTCTATAAAATGGGGTTGAAAATGTTTTTCACCTGGCCATTTTGAAAAGCATTGATAGGTAGTACCTATACTGGGTATTCCACAAGTCTTAGTGAAGTTTTAAACTATTAAAGATTAAAATTACACTAAGACTTTTTGGACACGCTGTATAAAGTTTGAATCTCTTGGAGGGACTGGAATTGTGATTTCATTAGAAAATAGGGATCTCATGAGTGAGGAAGCTCCCTTTACCAATGGAGATTGGTACCTTCTCTACAACTTACAGTCTTAGAGAACTGCCTACAGCTCTAAGAAGTTAAACAACTTGTCCAGGGTCACACAGCCAGAATGTGTCAGAATCAGGACTTGAACCTAGGCCTTCTTGGCTTTAAGGCCAGTTTTCTGTCCAACACACCACACTGCCTCTAGGTAAAAAGTAAATGTATATGGTATTATGGATAATTTGTTAATGAACTTTTCTCTTGATGTTTTTAGAGGAAATTGCCTGAACAAGATATTGCCCAAGGATCTTATATTGCATTGCCTCTGACATTGCTTCTGTTGCTAGCAGGTTATAACCATGATAAGGTAGGAGTTCTTTAATTCATCAAGAGTAGTTAAGTATGATGGGCTAGAGGTTTGAGTTAAGGAGAACTTTCTTCCTCAGTTGCTTTGGAAATGTCAGCTAAAGAAGGCCCGGCCTGAGTAAGATGTGAAAATGCCCAACAGCCCTCAGAGGTTCTAGGAAAAGGGAGGTGAATGTTTGTTACTAAATGTCACTTGGCTGAAGAATTTGGGCTCCTTTTAGGTTTTTTTATTCCCATCCTGTTGTCTGTCTCCTCTAGCTTATTCCTTTGTTGTTGCAATTGTCAAGCCGACTGCAAGGAGTACGAGCCCTTGGTCAAACTGCCTCTGACATTGGTGCCCCAGAAGATGTAAAGAGACAGGTAAAGAAGCAGAAGACTCGAAGGACCTGAAGAGAAAGACATGTTACCTAGACTTGGACCTAGACCAGGCTGGAGGCTGAAGCATTTTGGAAGCAAGGCCTCTGGCTGTACCGTGCATTGGATAAATGATGGATTGCAGAAAACTTAAGAGAAATTTCTGTTTATTCCACAGGCCCCCCCCCCCCTCACTACAGCTGTACTTTCTCTTTCAATTTCTATGACCCCTTGCTGTTTTAAAATCAAGAGTTACATGAACGGACCCCCTTTCACTCCACTGAGCATGTATTTTGGAATTGAAGATAATTTATTTTTTGTCATGGAAATATTTTAAGCTTTGCTGGTGATGTGAGAATGTAACTCTTACCTTCTACATTAATTTGCAAGAGGAATTCTGGTCCAATAAACAAGATTCTCAGTTTCTTTAAGAGTAATACTTTGGGGGATTTATTTATTTTTTTTCTGATTTTATTTTACTTGTGGGCCTGTTTAAGAAATATCCTATATCTAATTCCAGGAAGTTGTGTTGATTTCAGGTAAACAGTCAATCTGCATTCATATTCCATCTAGTCTCAAATATGATTTAGATAATATTGTATAGGATGTGCACAGGAATTTTAAGTTATGAAGTTAACAGTACTTTAATGGCATTGGCTTCATTTTTCTTGGTTAGTAGTTAAGTTGTTTTAAGCACAACCCTAAAAGGAGAATGAGAGAAAAGTAAGGTTAAATATAGCATATGAGTCAATGGCAAATAGGATGGAATTGAGGAGTTTTCTGCGTGTTGATGAGTTAGTCCACGTAAGTGGTTGTTGAGTTGCCAGCTCTTAGCTGGTTTTACATGTGTTGCCTGCTTTTTACCTTCGAAGATTATGAATTTTATGTTGAAAATCTTGGGATGTATACAATACACATCCCATTTCTGAGTGTTTCTTAGTATTACTTCGTATAGATGTCCAGAAACATTCCTTTTAAATGTTAATGGTGCTTTTTATTGACGTGGTGTAAAGGTTAAGAGCTTGTGAGAGATACAAGTAAACGTCAATGAATTCTCTGCAATTCCTGATATGACCATTGAGTGGCAATGTTCAACTTTTGAATGATCGGAAATTATAAGAGGCTTCTATTTTAAAAAATATACATATACTCCTTTAAAAGCAGAGATATGGCATTTCGTTTTGAAAGTTGAACTGAATCAGATGTAAAAACTTTCTGCCTTGGGTTTTATAATTTTCATGCAGGAGTCCTTTGATCCTTTTGTTAGAAGCAAGTAATAATTAGAGATAATGACTATAAATAACAATTTCTCAAACTTAGGTTGTGCTTTAAGGTTTACAAAGCATTTTCCTTGTTGTAACTCCATGAGGTTGGTAGTAAAAATATTATTACCCTTATTTTGTGGATGAGGAAACAAAGAGACTCAGGGAAGTGATGACCTCAGTTATGCAGCTAGTAAATGTCAGAGCCAGAATTCATACACAGGTCTTCTGAGTGTTAAGTCCAGTCATGAATGCTTCTTTTTATTTTTAGGAAATTACTTTGCTACAACAGGACATCTTCTTGAAGAATATCAGCACTTTGACATAATGACTTGTCAGGGCCTACTTGTGCCCTTGTGTGTTTAGGGGGCTTGCCAATGGAAGTTATAGTTGTAAGATTGCATTGAATGTACAGCACTCACTTAGCACTAGTCTCTAGCTTTTAGGAACCGCAGTTTTGGGATGATGTACATGCTTCTTCTCTGTCCCTCTGAATGATAAGGAACCATTATAAATTCTTTATTAGCATGATTAAATACTTTTTTTTTCCTTAGAAAACAAAAATGAAGTTTCTTTATTGAGTAGTAACTGCTTATGTTTTTGTAGCACTTTATGGTTACAAAGTGGTTTTTTTTTTCTTTTCTTTCTTTCTTTTTTTTTTTTTGGTTAGGCAGTGGAGTTAAGTGACTTGCTCAGGGTCACATAGCTAGTAAGTGTTATGTGTCTGAGGCTGGATTTGAGCTCAGGTCCTCCTGATCAAGGCCCATGCTGTATCCATTGCACTACCTAGCTGCTTCTACAGAACGCTTTCTTATACTTTAGTTTATTTGATCCTTATAATAATTCTGTGAATAAAGTAGGGTAGTAATCTTATATTGTAGATGAAGGGTTGTCATTAGAGGTTAAGTGACTTTCCCAACCTATCCACTGTGCCATCTAGCTGCTCCCTGAAAGGGATTGTTTTCTGCAGAGCTGTTTACTAATGGCAGTTCAAGTTGTGTTTAATTTGCATTTAGTTAATCCTGCCTTTTTTCTCTCCCTTTAAAGTTTTGAAATCATTTTCTTGTAAAGTTTTCCCTGATTATATAGAGACTATTGTATATTTATGTGGGTAATTGCCTCTTGCTATAGCTATCTGTTTTATTTTGTCAACTCCTAAAAGGGATTTGGTCTTTAAAATTATTGTATAGGGGCAGCTAGATGGCGCAGTGGATAGAGCACCAGCCCTGAAGTCAGGAGGATCTGAGTTCAAATCCGGCCTCAGACTAAACACTTGACACTTAACTAGCTGTGTGACCCTGGGCAAGTCACTTAACCCCAATTGCCTAAAAAAATAAAATAAAATAAAATTGTTGTATAAAACAATGTGCTATATTAGTCTAATATCATGTACTAGTGGACACTTGATGATGATGGTGATTCCTTATCTCACAGAACCAAAGAACTTGTTGGAAGAGAAGTAATACAAATGAAGCTTAGTTTTGAGGGGGTCAGATTCACCATGAAGACTAGCATATTTACCTTATGGTGCAATGACTGGTCCTATATTATATTTTAAAAATAGCTTTAGGAGGCTCTTTAGTTTCTTTTCCTGCTGTACTCAAGGGACATCTTAAGTTGCAGTAAATTTTAACATCTTTTTGAAGGAAGAAGTTGTTCCAAGTGGACAAGATGTCAGCAATTCTTAATTTTGGTAATTTTAATATTCTTTAAACTAAAATTAATATGGCACATCTCCAGTGTCTCTACAGAGATCATATTTGTGGAGCCTGTTCTGCATTTTCTTGTCATCACAGGTGGGGTAACTGGACAAAGTAAGGACATCGATAGCTGCTCCCATTTAATTTTGCTGTTGCTTTCCTTGTGAAAGAGAGAGTAAATGGTTAATGGCTATTAAGAGAGCAATTTTAGGCAAAGTAGAACTCTACTTCTCTTATTTCTGTTTCTTCAGACTGACATGGGTAGGGGTATTGCAAAATACCATCTTTTAGAAAATTCTTCTTAACATACAAAATCCATAGATTACTAATTGTTTTTTACTAAATCATTAGAAATATGCATAATAGACCTTTAATTTTTTTCTTTTTGTTAAATGCAAAATTGTAGTGATAATAATCAGTTCTCCATATATGAAAATGATACTGCTGGTAGTGGGGTATATATAATTAAAAAAGCACTGGACTGGAAATGAGACCTGGGATTCTGGTACTGACTTAGTAATAAACTAGCTTATATGGCATTGGACAAGTCTTTTTAACCTTAATTGGGTCTATTTCCTCATATTTAAAACGAGGAGTTAGTCTAGATGATTGATCTCTTAAGGTTTCTAACTGCCCTGAAATCGTATGTCACAGAGACATCGGCTTGGAACTTTTTTTTTTTTTTAAGACTAAGGCTTGGTCTGTCCTAACAACCCTGTCTGCACCTCCCCATCCCCCCATGTCCACCACTCCTCCCCTGTTAAGGATCTGTAATGGTAGAGTATAATGAATTAGCTAAATCACATGGACATAGGAACTGTTGCCACTGATTCATTAGCACTGTATTAAAAACTCGGCCAAATCAATAGGGATAGGAGAGGGGGACACATGAATTCTATTCCCACCCTATTTCCTTTTTAAAATGAAGAAAAAGTGGCCTTGGAGTCAGGAGGACCTGAGTTCAAATCCGGTCTCAGACACATGAAACTTACTAGCTGTGTGACCCTGGGCAAGTCACTTAACCCCAATTGCCTCACCAAAAAAAAAAAATAAAATGAAGAGAAAGGAATAAATATATATTGTCTAGTAGACAGTTTAACAAAGTAATATATCACTGGGCAAACCCTATAACTCATTTCTTTGAGAGTGAAGTAGGTCATTAATATTGAATGTTTACAATATACTTGTTAAAGAGATGAATCAATTTAATTTTTTTTTCTGTATTTTTTAATAGAACTTTCACATAGGAGGGGTCAAGATTGACTCTCTTCTTTTGTTTTCTGAGGACTTAGAACCTATTGATTGGATATGGAAAATATGATTTTCAGAGAAATGTATGACTTGGAGAGATCATGTCATTTCTTTTGCCCATTAAAAATTTCCAAGTGTTATAAAATAAGATTCCCTTAAATGTGGAATCATAGAGAATTGTAGAATTGGAAAAGACCCAAGTGGTCACCTAGTGTAACCCTCTTCATTTTTTTTTTTTTTGGATAATTTATTTATTTTTAGTTTTCAACGTTCACTTCATAAGATTCTGAGTTTTAAATTTTCTCCCCTTTCCACTTTTTCCATTTCCCACTCCCCCCGAAGATGGCATACAATCTGATATAGGTTCTACATATACGTTCATGTTAAGCATATTTTCCTTAGAGTCATGATGTAAAGAACAATTAGAACTAATGGGAGGAATCATGAGAATGAAGCAATAAAAACAACAAAGGAAAAGGGGGGCAAATAGTATGCTTCCATCTGCATTCCGACTGCATATTACTTTCCCTGGGTGTGTATAGCAATTTCCATTGTGAGTCTTTTGAAGTGGTCTTAGATTCTTGCATTGCTGTGAAGAGCCAAGTCTATCAAAGTCAGGCATCCTACAATGTGGCTGTTACTGTGTACAATGTTCTCCTGATTCTGCTCACTCCACTTGGCATCAGTCCATACAAGTCTTTCCAGGTTTTTCTGAAGTCTGCCTGCTCATCATTTCTTATAGCACAGTAGTATTCCATTACGTTCATATACCACAACTTGTTCAGCCATTCCCCAATTGATGGGCATCCCCTCAATTTCCACTTTTTTGCCACCACAAAAAGAGCTGCTATAAATATTTATGTACATGTGGGTCCTTTTCCCATTTTTATGATCTCTCTGGGATACGGACCTGGAAGTGGTATTGCTGGGTCAAAGGGTATGCACAATTTTATAGCCCTTTTGGACATAGTTCCAAATTGCTCTCCAAAATGGTTGGATCATTTCACAACTCCACCAACAATGTATTCGTGTTCCAATTTTCCCACATCTCCAACATTTATCATTGTCCTGTTTTGTTTAGCTAATCTGATAGGTGTGATGTGGTATCTCAGAGTCATTTTGATTTCCATTTCTCTAATCAATAGTGATTTAGAACATTTTTTCATATGACTATAGATAGCTTTAGTTTCTTCCTCTGAAAACTGCCTGTTCATATCC